ACGCGCAGTGCATTGCGGCTCTTGACATATAGAATTGCGTGTCGCCAATTCGAACCAAAAAAATGGCCCTTCTTGTTACTTCGGTTGCCGAACCCTGGGTTAATCGCCCAGCAGGCACCTCCGATTAGCACAGTTGGCAGTTCAACATACATAATACGTACAGGGCAGTGCCGGATGATCCTAGTAGCAAAAGTAGCTACTACACATGTAGTCGCTACTACATATGTAGTCGCTACTACATATGTAGCAGCTACGGGCCCCGCACTTTCAAGGGCCCCGCGCTAAATGTTTTGAAGCTTTCAATTTCGGCTCAGTGATTCTGCACTTGCTCTATTACTATAGTACTAGACTGCCTTCAACTTTTATGAGCGATTGGGTGTTTAAGGTTAGCGATTTGTCGTAATTATCTGGCTGTATAGCAAGTAAAAAAATACAATTACTTTACTATGAAAGTAAAAAATGTATCTGTTTATAATATTTCTATTTTTTTTTCATTTAGGGCATCTTTATAACATATGCTGCAGGCCCCGCACTAGCTTCATCCGGCACTGCGTACAGGCTGTGTGTGGTGGGCTAAAGTGTGGGCATTGCTACCTCATTACTGACTGGGCATCTTAATAAGAGTGTCGGATGTGTGCGCCTGATTAGATAGAGACACACTTTTCGAAGAACAATAAATTGCAGGCCGTTGTCAGTCCAATGTTGAATGTCTCTTCCACGCTGTGACAGTCCTGGGAGTTGTTTGACCATACTTCACCACGATGGTTCGTGCGGGGTAGTGAGATGACAGTGGGTGGGTGGCCGGGAACCGAAGTCTGGTAACTGGATTCGCAGCGCAGTGTGCTCACCACTGCACCACCGCTCCCTCCTATACAGTATATATAGCATTTATTTTACAACCCAAGTAAGACTTCGTTGAGACTGAGTCTCTCTTTTTTCCCATCCAGACCTGGATGACAGTGCAACGGTACACATTGATTAGATAAAGAGGGTAAAAAAACGACTTATCGTTGTACGGTTGGAGATACCAAACATCACAAACAACAACAGCAACAGCAGCGTCATGCGTATGTGTGTGAAACATCAACAGCTCTACCGATTTGCACGTGAATTCGATATACCCGTCCATTTATTATTGACGAGCAATTGCTTTGCGCCAACAAGAGATGGGGGTATACGAGCTACTGCTGTTGCAGTAGCAGCGAGAAGGTGGCCAGCAAACGTGCAACGTTGGGTCAAAGCTTCTAACCACACGCCAACGTTGAGACAACGTTGAGAGAACGTTGGCGTGTTTGCTGGGAAGCTGCAGTAGTTTGACCGCGTCGCTCGAGGACGGGGACGGGACTTTTCAACGCCACCCCGCAGGGCCCAGTGGAAGTGGCGAGGGAGAGAGGTCATCCCTGTCGCCACCAGGGACGCGTAGGCCATGAAGCCCCCGTTACGCCAGTGGTGTGGTGACTACATTATCAGTGGTGTAGTGACTACACTATCAGTGGTGTAGTGACTACACTACCAGTGGTGTAGTGACTACACTACCAGTGGTGTAGTGACTACACTACCAGTGGTGTAGTGACTACACTACCAGTGGTGTAGTGACTACATTATCAGTGGTGTAGTGACTACATTGTCAGTGGTGTAGTGACTACATTATGAGTGCAAAAAGGCCACAACAAAGACGAAACGCATCTTGAGAGGACGGTGCCTTCGATGGCTTGGAGATCGGTACTCGGCGACACTTGCAAGGCTCGGCCGAGGATAACGATTCGTCTTCATAGCGCGATTAAATTGCCCCGGGAAAATTGTGCCGGCTCTGCCCGTGAAATCATGGCCTCTATGCGAACAGCAAATGTCCTCGTGTAGTGGTATACCATCCTTATAAGTAAGGGAATTGAGGGGCTACACGACAGGGAACTACAGAAGTGAGACTTCCCGACCCACGATGATCAATGTGAATACCAACAGCACCATTGAGTGGATAGAGCCCTGGCCCTGCAGCTCGTGGTTGTGTTTTGCGCGTCTGCGTCCGTCTGGAACGCTCTGCCTTCCGATATTAGGAAGCCACTGGAGCTATGCGCTTTTAAATCCTCGAGATTGAAAACTCATTTCTTTAGAATTGCTCGCTGTGTTGAGTTTACTGTCCTTTCCACGCACCTCAGATTAGCACGGTTGGCGACGTACGGCGCGAAAGAAGTTCAACACACATCCCAGGAGTGTGATCAGCGGACTGTCGGTTAAGATCAGTTAAGGAAGTTGAAGTGCAGTTAAGAGTTCGGTTAAGCACTTAAACCCCCCCCCCCCCACCCCCTTCCGGAGGGGGTGGGGGGGGGGGTGGAGATTATTTTTAAATCCTTTATATTAAGTTCACTTGCTTGCTTGCTTGCGTGCTTGCTTACGACCGTGCAAATCTTTCGGTCGTTTTTTAACCCACTTCCCGTGATCCAATCGAGCTGACATTTTGCACACAGACTCGTTGTGCGTGACAATTAATTATCGTGAAAAAAAATTCCCAAATTTTACACTGTTTAGGGAAACATTTTTTAAAATATTTAACTACCAATTGCTTAATGGTGGCAGACAATCATCTGACCATAGGTGGCAGCCATCTCAAGCCAGAGGACGAGAGGACTCTAGCCGCCCCGATGCCACGCATATAAAGGATTTATAGTGAAAAACTTTGTTTTTACGGGTTAATTTTTTCCGTAACTCACCCCACCAGACAACTCCGTCTGAAATAAATCCACCGCACGAAGGCGACATCAGCCGCGTGCTCGTGGGTGTGCTGGGCACGTGCCGACCACGCCGCGTCTTGCCAGCGGACCCCCCCTGGGAAGACACACACGCCAAAAAAAAAATCTAAATATATTTCGCGAGAAATGTAAGGCACGCCCTGGGTGTCACTCGCGTGGGGGATGAGGTAGGTGGGCAGGTCGGCACGCAGCGCGACACTGACGTTACGAGTCGGGCACGTCGTAGAAGGAACGCGCCGCCCGGGGTTCCCCTTGACTCCGTCGGCAGCCCGGGCACCTCCCCCCCCCACACCTCCTCCGCTCGTTCACCCCCTAAGGCGGCTGCCGCAGCCGTGAGATTGCGAGGCGATGAGTGACAGCGAATTATGTCGCGCGGAATGCCGCACGACCGCGCAAGCGGTACGCGCCGTGCTAATTGGCGTTATCAGCGCGACGCTGATACAGGACCGGGCCCGGACCGTTTATCACGATGTTCTCTACAAGTGAGTCGTTGGGCAGGATACGAACGTCCGCGAATTTTGAAACGTGAATTCGGTTAGCGCGCCAGTCATCCGCGCAGTAAATTCCATTCGCTAATCAGAGCCATTTCAATATTTGCCAGGATGTTTGGCCAAGATGCAAGGTGCATCTCGGGCGGCTGTCGGGGGTCGCATTCCAGGGTGAAGAACTTCAAGATAGTCCAAAAGTGGGGAAGGTGGGGGTAGAGTGTTGTTTCAATCACGGTCGCTGAGCACACACCCAAAGGTCCAAGTTGAAGGTTATCATTGATAAAAGTGTTTACGCTCATTGGAATTGAGCAAAAGTATCAACGAATTTTGGGAAAGAGGGCGATGGAACATTTCAAAGTTGTGCAGCGCTAGGGAAGAGGCAGAGGGAGAAATGTTTTGACCCGCAGTGTGGTGGTTGGTGTACTTTGAAAACTGTAATTGTCTTTATTGCATTTCTGGTTTCCCTGAAAACATTACGTGGTTTTTCCAAATGTGTTAGGAACAAGTTTGGCTGACTGTAGGGAGGGCCGGTCACGTCCAATGGGATGTGTGGGGCTTTATAACACGCAATCTGAGGAATACCCGTGGGGGTGCCGGGAGGATTTAGAAACGCTGCTCATATTGCAGTCACAAAGCGTGATGACAAAAAGTTTCAAGTTGCAATGTGTACCAAGGTGGTAGAAAATTGTTGACACAACAGCTGCCTACCACTGATGGCGCAGCGGTGTGCCAAGCAAGGGAAGAGGGGGGGGGTGTTCACGCGCAAAGTACAATTAAACATGAATGCGCAGCCCTGCAATTACTCGCCCGCGCTACGGCTGGCGAAAAGAGGCCTCCAACGAGATGGAGCTGAAAGACCACCCCTCTAAGAACGCATTTGGCCGAACCTTCCACGCTGACGAGGCGTTCTGGAAGAGGTCACGGGGGACCAACACCGTACCCCACGACACGTGATCTGCCGATCGACTAAATGTGGTATTGCCCAGTTACACCGCTGGCTGTACAAGAGGTAGGGGGGTGGAGGGATTTAAGAAACTTAATTTTCAACTCCAGCACCAGGTGATCGATTTGAACAGGCGAACCTCCGGATTGCAAAACATTACACAAAGACGTCACCACGTCACTTGCTTTCTGATGCGCTGCTGCGGAACGTCTAGAACACTCGTTCTTCCAATATTAGGAAGCCACTGGAGCTATGCACTTTTGAAAATGTGTATTGAAAAGTAACTTCTTTAAAACTTATTTTTTTGTTTAGTTTGTTGTCCTTCCCCCGTACCTCCGGTTAGCACGGTTGGCGACGAACGGTGCAAAATAAATGTCGATTTAAAGCTTTCATGACTGCAGGGATTCATCTTCTTGGTTCTTTTGGTAAAGTCACGTAGAAGGGAAATAATAAAATAATAAAAATAAAACATAATAAAATACAATTCTCACGACGTTTCGGCCACAACACAAGCAGCCGTCCTCAGACCTGTTCTTCACCTGAGGACGGTTGCTTGCGTTGTGGCCGAAACGTCGTGAGAATTGTATTTTATGTTTAATTATTATTTTATTATTTCCCTTCTACGTGACTTTACCGAAAGAACCAAGAAGGTGCAAAAGAAGTTCAACATACACACATACACACACATGCACACTATGTCGCTGCGACCGCATCCGCCGGATGAAACGTGAACGCGTACGACTCCTGAGTCTGCAAACACAGCAGCTGCACAGCACTGCCCACTACAGCACACTCGAGCGAAGCACAGAGGGTGACTTTAACGGAGGTACTCTGGTGAGCTTTTTATTGCAGAACAAAAAGGGTTGTAAACAACGGACAACAAGAAAAACAACATCTTTACCCAAATAATTTTGCATCCATAACGTCAGCATCTCATTAATAATAATGGCAAATACTTCACACTCAAATAAAAAACGCACAAACTCTCTAACATGAAAAAGAGCGCCACGGCTTATTTACAAAAGACGTGACACTTGCTCGCGGGAATTTAGGAAAGCCCTTTGTTATGATCACCCTTTTAAAACATAAACTTTCGTTTTACCAAGTATACATACACCCATTAAATAATTAGGTTGCAAAGTGCAGCTGTAGTGAGATTCTCTCTCTCGCTCCCTCTCTGTGCGTATTCAAAAGGAACGACAGAAATGTTTTGATTGTGCACGAGTTACAGTGGTTATGTAACGGGGCCAATTTACACGTTATAAATGTGACGCACGTCGAGAAAACTTTACATTTGTAGCGGAACCTGTTGCAGAGATTAAAAAATAAATGGCATTGCAATAAACACCGGCTTGGGTGGATACGGTTACGACGGCGACAGCGGTGACTATGACAGCCACGGTGGTGGTAATAATAGCGGCGTTGCCAAGCACTGCGCTGAATGAATAAGGCACGAAAGCACGGGGCAAGCGTGCGTGGTCATGTTACAACGCCGTGGCTATACTGCCGGGAAAGCCGTCAGTCACGCTTGCGAGCTGCCACATCCTAGTGAGGCCGCATTGGTGCTCCGAGGAGTGATAAATGTTCACCGCTTTCCCTCATTAATGCTTTAGTGATCACCACCTCCCCACGGACGCGCCGTTCACACGTGTGGGTTACATGCACATTGCTGCGCAAACATTGACGCGATAGATATTTACAAAAAGGCCGTTTACGATTCGAGCATAACATAAGGCACCACAGTAAACCAATCCACAAAGTACAAAGTTTGCATATATAATATAGATAGTTAAAAATGTCCCTTTCATTGACACGCACACACACCTATTGCTGTGAGCCTTCTCGCAGGGGAGGAAATCCCTGGGTGTGTAGATGCACGTTGCAGCCTGCACTGCGATGGACCGCACAAGCCCTCTCTCGCTCCCCCTTCACAGACCACTCTTCGCTAGGGTTTGCTACCTCCTGAGGTACAAAAAAACACTAGGACAACATCATGTGAGGAAGAAGAACAAATATCCCAGATAGGAGAACGAGTGAATGCATCGTCTTGAGTGGCGTATTATTACACAGCTGACAAAACCTGTTAATTTCCACAGGACAGCAGTTACTTTGCAAAAAGATGACGATTCCTGGGGAAAATCAGGACCACTGGCCACCTTATAGAGGTCACACTTTTTGTTTGCCAAAAGTTGGGGGGGACCCACTGTGCTACCGCTGCGTCTTGGTGGTAACAATCCCCCCACCGCCCCCCATCATATTTTGAGGTTCTTGAGGCTTTGCAGGCTGCTCTGGTTGATGGTGCCGTATGACTGCGAGTAGCTTCCCATGGCCGCCTTGGGGTCCCCCGCCGCGCCCACGTTTTTGGCTCCTTCGAACACCTTCCGGCTGAACCTCGTTCCCGCGGCACGAGTGTCTCGGCTCGCCGACTGTCCACGCTGGTTCTGCCACGAGCGGTCGGGGAGAAAAGTCGGAATGAGAGCCGGCAGGTGGGCACACGGGAGACAACGATAATCACAGCAAAACGTCTGAAAGTGGGTTTGGACATGCAGCGTGTAGGATTGTTACCACCTGGAGGTGTAGAAAAGCAGGACGTATCATCAGAAGAGGATTCTTGCAATGGAGGAAGGAGGGAGAACTACATGCAGTACAAGTCATTTGTGGGTAAGGCCACAGAGTGATCTGACAAAATCTGTCTTCCGAAGCCTCAACCACCCGACAGCCAAACAAATGAATTCTCATGTGCACAGGCGTTTAGTGCGACAATTATCATCGCTACAGCTCAAAATAAAGAACGAATCTGGCAACCAAATTTGTAAATTAGATTAATAAGTTTAATTTAAAACTGCGTCACCTGACCAGGCTTCCTTAAATAGATGTGCATATAACTGGTGTATCGCACAACTGATAAAATACCGAGACTTTTCTGCCCCGGGAAGACTTGAAGATTTCCCAGGATGGCATCTACCTGAAACCGAGGACGATCCCGGAAAAACCGAGATGGGTGGCAACCCCAGCGGCATCGCAGCGGGCTACACCACCTTGCCTCCGTCCTTTGGATGCACCCAGAAGCAGGCTTTATCAGATGATCAACATGCGTCAGCGTGGAGAGGGTGAGGGTGTGCTCGGAAATTCGATTATGAAATATCTCCCAATCGGTTTATTGCACGGATTCCAGCAACCGCCGCCACAACACTCAATCCAGTTGCTATAGGCTGCTGCGGGGACTACGTGGCGGCGAGCAGGAGATGGTATTGCAGCAAAAAATACATTCTTACTGTACTGCTACGCTCCCCACCTTTACCAAGCTGGCATTGACCAGCGTGGTGAAGAAGAGTAAAAATAAAAACCCCCGTCAGCCCACATGCGTTGTGGGGCGGCCACCATCCAGCAGTGGGTTGACAAGACAGCTGTGACATGTACGTACAACCAGACTGAAATGTTAAATGTTACGAAACGGCACGAGCATTAAAATTCCCCGCATGTAGAAAGGGAGCCGCCGTGGTGTTCTCGCACTGCAGAAGTGAAAACAATGGTCCAAGTTTCTTAACATACCGCAGCCCCCCCCAACCCCCAAACGCCTCTGTCCACCCAGCAAAAAAAATTGCCACAATCACATTCGATCGGTAAAGTGTGGAAACCCCGGCTTCTTTCAGCCAGTGTGGTAGATTAGGCCAAATACCCTCTAGATGAGGCTCCCTTGCCCTCCCTTTTCATGGTGGGGAGGGCCTACCGCCTGCAATGGCGTGAGCATGACATTTCAGGGCCGCATCTTTACCTATACACCTTCTACACAGAACAAAGGCACGGGATGCCCTTGAGCGTGCCTGCGTAACAGAGTTGCGTTACCGTGCCGCATAGGAAAGATGCCACCGCATAATTGTCGGTGGGTGTGGGCCACGCGTCATGCATTATTGCATCGTTCTTGTTTCACCCGGTGTTAAAAATAAGCATGTGACCAAAACACTCGCGAAACCGTGCAGGCCAGGGGCGGTTGCGATGGGGAGGGGTGGGGGCGGTTGGCGCAGGGTTGAGGGGTGGAGAATGTGACGGTGACTACATTTTTATGACGTGGCACACGGCGTGCCGCGCCTGCCCTCTAACGTGCGCCGGCACTCCTTTCCACGTGCGTGTGTCAGAAGAACACGGGGCCGCTTGCCCAAACCACACGCGGTGGTCCTGGCCAGCGTCTCCACCCGGCCAGCAATTCTACAAGCGCAGGTCCTGAGTTTGAATCGAGTAAGCAGCCCCCGGTTAAAAGCGGGTTCTCGAGTATAAGCGAGTTCATGATCCCAGACCGGTTGCCAATCACTGCATCAACATTTTTGTGATTACATCTGGTTTATCACTTGAGTTGGCCAAATACCTATTCGGAAAATGTAAATATTGGTTTGACTGCCATGCGATGAATATTTATATGGTTGTGTGGAAGAGTATAAATACCCCCTAGTGTGGATAAGAGGTCACTTAAATGGAAGTGATATCTTTTCTGTGATCTCTTCTCCGATATGGTATGATGCACTCTCTCTACACGCGATTCAATGCAAGTGTAGGGACGTAAATGGCGTCCCTGGGGTGTGACTATTGTGAGGAGACGAGCTCCCTTACCTGCACTTGCCTGCCGATGGGGACTCGAGGGGCCTGTCACGTTGGCTCGGGTGCCATCGGGAGAGTCAGGGGAATTGACGTGGCAAGAGCCGGGGTGGGGCCACGCTCGGGGAAGGAAAAGGGAAGAGGCGATGCCTTGGGACAGTGTGAGTCAGTGAGTGTGGGGCTCGGATGGTGGATGGTCACGCCGTTGGAAGCGGGAGCTGAGAGGGTTGAGGCTCCGGGCATGAAGAATCCTCCCTATCTCTCGTTGAGGTGTAGAATAGCCTTGTTGTAGCTGTTACTGTTAAGTGAATAAAGTGTGGTGCCTCCTATCCCAGTGTGTGCCTCGTCAGACACACATTACACAAGTATTGCGATGTTAAGAATCAATATTAATCAGAGGTGGCCAGATAGCACACTTAGTGGACAACATTGAAATCCTGGGTTTGAATTTTGAATTCGGGCAGCCGCCTGTCAAAAAACTGGCTTCTCAAGTCAGTTGATGGTGTTCAACCCAATCACAAGTGACTGCACAAAAATCCCATCACGTTAAATATTGTTTATTTAATTTAGCTAAATTTCAGCTTTGAGAATTGAAAACTACAATGCTGGATTTTAGCAACTTGTGCTGTAGAGCTGTGTGTTTTTTTCGGGTTTAATGTTAAGTTCATGAAGCTTTTAGCATGTTGAACAACACGGGGTACGACTGGAAAACGCATCGGGGAGCTATACGAACGTATCGGTTCGTCATACGATGAACGTTTACTCGCGAGTGGCGGTGAGGGTGGCTAAAGTGTCGTCTCCACGTGTGGCAAATTGAGACTGAGACACGAGCACGCACTTATGCACGCGGGTCGGCCGGCCTCACGCGAGGGAAGAGACTCACGAGGGGCGCGCCGCTGACCGACATTCCCAGGTCCAGCTCGCGCGCCTCCTCGCGCATCAGCATGCGGTTCCCGGCGTTGGCACGGTGCTGCTGCGCCAGGCTCTTCTCACGGCACGCGGGCGCCGACTTGGCCCCTCGTTCCTCCTTCGCGGCCAGCGGCGCTACCTGCGTAGAACGCGCACGGGAACGTGAGAGAGGTGCCGGACGCTCGAGACACATTTCTTGAGAGTCGCGGGTGATTCCTGTGGCTCTGCGAAAAACGCCGAGAAAGCCCTTGGGCACTGCAGAAGCACGAAGAAAGGGGCCCGCCGCTAGAGTGCAGCAAAGATCACAGTACGTTGTATACAAGTATTCAATGATAGTAGATTAGGAGTCATTTACTTCCCATGCCGTGCGGGGTCGTGGGAGTTAGTTGACTACGCTTCACGCTGGTCAGTGCAGGATGGTAAAAGCAGGAAGCATAGATGCGGGAGCATAGAAGTACAGTGCAATTGATTTTGCCACACTGCCTTCTGCTGTTCACCACACAGTCCTACCGTCTGGAGCCTATGACACCTGGTCATGCATGACGGTCTGGAGCCTATAATACCTGGGCATGCAATCACGGTCACCCATGCAGGCTCAAATTCTGCTCATCTGTCAAGGTCTCACAAGCTTAGGCGCATACCGGGTGACTCGGTTGAAAGGCAAATTAATTGCGCGTGTGGCTATAATGTTGGTTATGCGTTCTGCTGCTGCTGATAATGCTGCAGTTACGGGTGTCTGGGATGCGCTCACATAATTCGCTGACTGTGGGTTTGTAGTTTGCCGAACCGCCGGTCCCTGATTGGCCGGTCGGCCCGCTTTGCCGTGTTCTTCGCCAATGAGATTGGCGTTCTGGGAAACCTTGTGACCTGCGTTGTGTTCCACGTCTAAAAACAAAAAAGGTGAAAAGACGGTTTCTTAAACATGTGAGAATTAGGCGAAGAAATTGTGTTTATACGTACACCCATAGTATCGATGTACAGATACCGCATGAAAATAATAGGGAAAAATTTGAGAGAAAACAACATTTGTTTCAAAGCCACCCCTACTCACTGGTGATCAGTCACCTCCGTATCACTCTTCTATCACTGCTACCATGGTTACTGTTCCCGTGAACTTCACTCATTGATTCTCCAACCAATGTTGAAGGCTCATCCACACTGTGTACATTCACAACACTGCAGATCAAATTACTAATTTTTTTGCTTCTTCCAATGCACTGCTTAAATCCCCTCTCTAATATCGTCTACTTTGCCAAGTTCTCAATAACCTTGTTAAATTCAATAAACCTACACATTTAATAGTGCTGTTTGTTGCTGGCAGCTTGGATTTCTGGCCTTTTGGGTTTGTGCTCAAGAATTGTGATGTAAAAAACAAATGTGTCTGAACAATTTCAATACAATTGTCGCACATTTGAACTCTCTCCTCTAATAAATAGAGCCACTGCTTCCCGGTATTCTGTCACCTGTTTAGAAGATGGTAAGAGGGTCATTAAAAATTGGTGTGGTATCTAGAAATGGATCATCCTGTGTACACATAAAACGCAACAACGCATACCTCTGGCCCATTCAACGCGGCACAGTGTCTTCACGTATCATTAATATCTGAGACCGAAACGGAGCAGACGGAAGTCCAGACGTGGTGGCGGCCTCACCCTGATCCGCGGCGTGGGTGATGGGGTTCACTGATGCCTTCCCCTTGGGGCTTGCCAGAGGGAAACTGCCAGAGACCCCCAGCCCAGGGGCACCGCGTGACGACACCTGGTGACCCACGGCCGCGTGCTGCTTCTGGGCATCCTGGGAAGCTGCCGGTTGCTTCTGGTCATCCTGGGAAGCTGCCGGTTGCTTCTGCGCATCGTGGAAAGCAGCGTGTTGCTGCTTCTGTGCGTCCTGGGAAGCTACCGGTGGCTTCTGTGCATCGTGGAAAGTAACGTGTTGCTGCTTCTGTGCATCCTGGGAAGCTGCGGGTTGCCCCAGCGCACGCTGAGAAGCTGCAGGTTGGAGCTCCTCTTGTTGGGCGTTGGTGTGAGGTTCCGACGCCTCGGTGGGGTTGGTCGGATGCCTGTGCGCGGCATGCTGGGAGGGAGTAGAAGGTTTACCGGCCGCGGGCTGGGAACGCTGCGCTAGGTCCCGCTCCCCCGAATCGCTGTCGAAGGAACGTTGCGGCTTGCCATGTGCGCTCCGGCCACTCTCCTTGCGATGTTTACGCACATCCATCTTCCTCTCCAGGATCAACTAGGAACAGAGCAAACGTGCTGAGGAATTGACGTGTGGTCTGGCAGCATATGAACATGAAGACAAAGAACCCCGCCCACACGCGCCTTAGTTATATAGACTGCCGAGGCAAGTGCTGTTAGCAAGCACCTATCAAAGTCGGCACAGCACAATAGTGGGTTGATATGGTCAGCAACGTGCTGTGTCGCCTTTGTCACCACAACGCTGATGTTTATAAAAACACACGAGGTACTCATTGAAGGGCCAGGATCGGTTCAGATATGGCTGTGAATCGAACTCTGTGGTTGCTAGGTTGGTCATGCAATGTGCTGTAATAACAACGTGACTGCTTATATGAATACAATGCATAGTTTCGCACTAATGGTAATGTAATCTCCAACCTGGAAACATTGCTTTAATGATAGGCATAAACAACTCCTCTCTTTCTATCACTGTCTTCATCAGTAGGCATTTGACACTGTGTCATCTCATCATTTAAATCTATTCTTAGGCAGACGACAAGTTCATAGAATTGCGTGTGAGAATCGATCATTATATTTCAGTATACCTTGTATGCAGATCGTTCTAGGAAATTTAAATCTCAAATTTAATTGCTCTATTGGGATTATACATCGCAGGAATCGTCGCCCGCTATTATCAGACAAATTCCAGATTGCAAGTTGACTCAGGTGCTGAGTCATCCTGTGCCTAAAGGGACAGCTGCCATTGCGGGTGCCCTTTCAAATGTGTTGAGTTGCCATATCAAGCGCTCTGAGATGGCCTGGCGTGTATAGGAGGGCACTATATGAAAAAACAATAATCTTCTTGGTTCTTTCGGTAAAGTCACGTAGAAGGGAAATAATAAAATAATAAAAATAAAACATAATAAAATACAATTCTCACGACGTTTCGGCCACAACGCAAGCAGCCATCCTCAGGTGAAGAACAGGTCAGCGTCTTTCCGACACGTCGTGAGAATTGTATTTTATTATGTTTTATTTTTATTATTTATTATTTTATTATTTCCCTTCTACGTGACTTTACCGAAAGAACCAAGAAGATGAATCCCTGCAGTCACGAAAGCCTTAAATCGAAATCATCATTATTCACATTACTCCTGTAGCCAGATGCAACAGTGTGCACCACAATTGATATATATTTTTTAATGAATTCATGACCCTGAATTAAGACAATTTCACCAAGCCACGAGGACGGTCAGTCAACTGCCCTTGCACCGCTTCACCAGCAGCCACCGGCCACCTCGCGACCGCTCCCCACCTCGTAAAGTTTGTTGCGATACTCGGCCACGGAGAGCCGCGTGTCGTCGTCCACGGGTGGCACCACGTCATAGTCTACCGCCAACTCCGTTTGCGGGTTGTGGAACCTGTGGTGGCAGCCAACACAATATGGATTACGGCAGGACTATGGAAACAACCCCGTTAAGACGAACATGTAAACGTGGTGTTGTTCTCAAGGTTGGGCTATTCCGTTCACGGGCTAGGTGCTAATGTCGAGCTCTGTAAGTACAGCGTTCGTGTAGTTTTGCTCTTCCGCCTCTGTTTTTTGGTTTGGCCATGTTTGTTTGTTGTAGTACGGAGTTAGACTGATGGCCTTAATCTAGGTTTTCTTGTGGTTGTTGTTGTTTGACTTGCACCCCACTGGGATTTTTGCACATAGTGTTGGTGTACGGTGCTTTTTCTGCAATATTTTGCTGTCTTTTCTTGTATTTTCCGTTTGCACTTAGTCACATAGTCACTTTAAGATGTTTTCTTGTTCATGTTTTTGTTTTTAGTTTTTTGAGATTGCACCCGATTCAAGATCCGAATGGCTCACAGGGCTATACCTAATAAATGAACTTGAAATTGAACTTTAAGGAGCACAGGCTACAGCGGTTTTACTATCGTTTGGATTGCATGGCCACGATCACACTGTGGCTTGCCTTCAATGTTTCCTTTGTAAAGATGTGCATATCGGCTTGTTGATGTACTAATGCAGATGATGGGAAGCTAGTGTCTTGTAGGAATATCAAAGTCAGGAGGTACGTTCTTTCAGTCTCAAATCGAGGCATTTATTCTGGACGTCTGCGTTGTGCCACTGTTCGCCAACATTCTTCTGGATATGGGTAAAATTCTAGGATAGTGATGGCGTGATCCTAGAACGGGATCAGGACTTGACTTTGGTGGGAGATGGTCGCCTTTTTGTGGTGGCCAGCCCCCACTATGTGTTTTTGTGTCAAATTGAACACAACTAACGCCGTCATCTGGGCGAAATGAACGTCATTAATTTAAGGGTGGCCTATAGAGCTCGCTCATCGTCATTGCTGTGGGATGTGGATGACGTTATCACACATGCACACTTGCACCCAAGGAAGCCAGCAAACCTTTTTTTTCTCAACCAGTATGAGTATGACGATTACTGTTTTTTTTGTTCGAACCCCTTTCATGTTTAACAGGGGTTATGATTGTTTAAATCCTGTAATGAAAAATACATACGAAAACCAGACAAACAAGTATCTCCTGCTTTTAGCCAGCTCTGGTTGAAGGGCGAGCCCCAGATCTGCGCGCGAGAATGTGTTGATGAACAGTTTTGGTGCAATGCTGCCGTCATCAATATGTAATGATTATGAAATTCACAATTTTGGTCCTTCTGAGCCCAAGCCTCATGACTGCATGGGCTCGGTTACTCAGATCTTTTTTCTCAAGTCACATACAGTGTCCTCATATCTCATTCCACCATATCTCCTCCCACCTCACCTACCCCGCTTTGCGTTTATCAAATCACGTATATAAGGCTCAAGTTTTTTATTCGTATGTATTATAATGGATTCGCATTAACCCATTGGCCACTAGAGGCCTCTACATTCGCGACAGCGTGAAACAAATAATATAATTAAATTGCAACCGTGAATCATGAGGTGGGCAAATCCTTACACCCAGCGCTCTGGTCTGTCTCCTGGGCATCGTAAGCAAGAATACATTTTTAATTACACGCATTCCATTTCACTGTCAAGGGTAATTCATAGTTACATTCCAGAGGTCGCCAGCTCAATCACCTGGCAAGGTGGTTGAAATAATGGAGCAAATTTCTCAAATCCCCCCCAGTTCGGTCCACCCAGCAGTATAAATGATGACAGCACCACAATTAGTCAATAAGCGGGTGACGTATGGTGGGGTAATGTACATGGGTACTCCCACCTCTTCCAAGATATCAGGCCAGTGTGGAAGAGTAGGCCAAATACCCCCCACAGGGTCTCTACAGAGCTGCCTCAAGCGGAGGCCTTTCCTCCAACAGTGGCATGGGCAAGCAATTGCAGGACAATTGTGTCCAAAATTGTAGGGTAAATCACACGAACCCAAAACCTTATTTGGCCTCCAACAAACAGGGGACTCACTGGGCTACGTAGGGGTGGCTCAGAGCCTCCTCGGCCGTGAGGCGCTTCTCGGGGTTGAAGACCAACAGGCGCTTGAGCAGGTCGAGGGCGTTGGGGGGTGCGTTCGGGAGCAGAGACTCCAGCGACTGCCGCTGCCTGCTCGCACCACACACACACGTCAAGGAATGCCGCTCGTGCAACATTTCACTTCTGCCCTTTTCGGGTCCGTACACGTAAATTGGAGGGTGTCGTGTGCACCCGACGGGACAAGTGAGCAGAAACTTCAATGAAATGCCAAAACTATCTTGGCACAAACAGGTTCATTTTTGAAATGTGAAAAGGCAATAACTTTACGACCTACGCAGTTAGCAAAATAAAACCTTACCTCCCCATCTTTTCCAGCACAGACCCACCGTATTCTGATTTGATGGCCAGAACATCTGCAACACATGATCAACATGTTGTTTAAATATTAAAAGATGGCCCTATATGTGTGTGTGTGTAGCAGTTTGCTCTGTCTGCAGCAGACGGTGCACGTGCCCTCACCCTCCTTGCTTGGCGGTGGGATGACGCTCATGATTCTTTCGATCTGGTTGAGGGTGGAGGTGCCTGGGAAGATCGCTTTCCCCAGCAGCATTTCACCAACAATGCAGCCGACACTCCACATGTCCACTCCTTTGGTGTACCTGCACACAAAGATACCCCGGTAAGCCTAGTGGAAGACCGTTTGGCACAAATTCTGTTCGCTAGTGTCGAAGACCGACACAATCAATGCCTTCATCTCTTTGGTGCTAACGTTAACGCACCAAACCAAGTACTCATTTCAAGTAGAGTCAATAGAGCAGAGGTGCACGACTTGTTCAGATATTTCTTGACATTGCTATTATAATTATATGGGGAATGAGGCCAGGTTGATGGGTTCCTAGAGCAGTGCACAAACCAGTGGACCACCACAAAGAGAAAGATCCCCCATATAGCCTTTAAGAAGCTAAAAGGAAAAGTGCTGTTAGTCAGCACGTATTAAGGCTGCCACAGCAATCCAGGTGGATGATGTGGGTGAAGCCACGCTCACTCCTGACCCATCACTCAATCGGATATCCATGTATATCCGCAACCACACGTGATTCCGGTTTCACCCTCGCCTGATATTAATACAATTTCAAGTTAATTTATTAGGTATAGCCCTGTGAGCCATTCGGCTCTTGAATCGGGTGCAACCGCAACAAAAAAAAAACATGAACAAGAAAACATCTTAAAGTGAATATGTGACAAAGTGCAAACAGAAAATCCAAGAAAAGACAACAAAATATTTCAGAAAAAAACACCATACACCAATGCTGTGCAAAAATCCCAGTGGAATGCAAGTCAAACAACAACAACAACACCATTGGAACCTCATTTGCCAGTAAAAAATATGATAATTGTTTTTTACCCTTCTATCTGGCAACAAAACTGACACCTTCAAGGACAGTGCATACATTATCAGAGTTACGTTTTTTGTTTGCATTATGACTGCAGGTATTGTGGTCTATGCAAACATGACTCCTTATAAAAAAAGGTGTCAGTTTTGTTGCCAGATAGAAGGGTAAAAAAACAATTATCAACAACAACAACCACAAGACAACTTAGATTAACGGGGAGTAGCAGCACCAACTCGCCTGGGCGACGCCAGCAGGATCTCGGGAGCGCGGTACCAGCGGGTGGCCACATACTCGGTGAGCGCCGGGTCGCCTGGCTCGTCGCGGATCTGCTTCAGCGAGCGCGCCAGCCCAAAGTCGCAGAGCTTCACAAAGCACTCGCCGTCCAGCAATACGTTCGACGGCTGCGCACACACACCAAGCGCACGCGTTTTTAATAGTTAGTCTCCCGCCATAGCGCAATGGAGAGGCTGCAGCTACTCAACTTAATCTGGGAATGCCTATCATGTGGCAAAGTCTTAACGAGTCGCTGAGTTGTTTAAGATCGTGGTAAATTACGTTGTATAAGGAATGTTTGGGGGGGGGGGGGGGAGGCAAATCTTTGGGCAGAATGGCTAACATGATAAGTGAGTGCATCTGAACCGGTCCTTCATCTCTTGCCCACCCTGATCCTTTAACAAACCCGCACTGACCAGGTGAAACAAACCTCAATGCCCAACACAGTGTGGCTTGACAAACAGCTGTAAACTATTATTGTATTCATTATCATTTTACATCAAGAATCACTCTACTGGTCCTAACCACGCTTGTTATTCCTGTCGGCTAAGGGAGCCCCGACAAGTGGCAAGAGAGGGCCTGCCTTCTGGTCGCGGTGGATGACGTTGCCCGAGTGGATGTACTTGGTAGCCTTCAGCAGCTGGTACGTGATGTAGGCTTTATGCACGTCCTTCAGAATGTTCCCCTTTCGAATCACCGCGTGGAGGTCCGTGTCTGTGTCACACACAGTGCGTGTTAGATGTTGCACATTGCAACCGTTCACCAGGTTAACTCTCTGATACGTTTTTGGGCTGTACTGCGTGTTGTTCGGAATGTCAGAACTATGCAGGACAACTTTGAAAACCTACGTAGTAGTCAAGAAGATGATTACATTTTTATTTAAAATGTGTGCGTTGTAAATTTGACCACTCACCCATAAAGTCAAACACCAGGTAGATGTCTTTGTCATTATCAGCACGAAGCACATTGCGCAGGTTAATGATGTTGGGGTGATCGCCAAATTCCTGTCGAAATGAACAGAAATATTTTATAATTGGGCCTAAAAATCCAGACAAAGTAGTTGTTTTGCAAAATGTCTGAAATGAAAATGGTACGCTGTTAACATACCTGGAGGAAAATGATTTCTCTGAATGTCCTCTGTTACAAGAAAAAGATACAAAACAATTTAAACATTGGTTATCACAAACGTCATCTGTTGAGGGCTTTTTTCCATTGAATCACAGCTTGATGTCATGTCGAACATGGGTTTTGCAATTTTTTTTGGCACATACCTGGGCGTCTGTTTGGTTTCTGAAGGCATCAAATATTTTTTTGATTGCGACCACATCGCCATTCTTTCGATCCACCCCTTTCCACACGATCCCATAGGCCTGCATGCATCACCAAACGCACCTCCGATTACCACAGTTGGCTATGTACGGTGCGAAAGAAGTTCAACATACATATACATAAACGATCATTAGTCCTCAAGTTGGCGCTGATTATCGTCATTCAAAGAAGGCAAACTCCTGCCACGCGTGAGAATCCTCCCAACTGTTTTGGGTGGGGTACCTTATAACTAAATGAGTCAACCTCGGTAAAAAAAAACGTCAACATCATCCCAAAAATGCATGAGGTATAATTATGAAGGTAATTACTACGATAATGAGCCAATAATGTATGTTTGTGTGTAACGCACGTGACGTGTGGATTTATTTATTCAGCACTTGAAACAAAAGATAAGTCTAATTTATGCTTCTACATTATGGTAAAATAGAAATGTATCAGTGATTTTCCAATTAATTTCAACCCCAGCGACCGAAAGCAGAAGAGAATAAAGTATCAGAGCTGTGAATTAAAATGAGGTGTTTTATGACGTAGTTTTGTGCAATAATCACTGCCATTAATACAGTGCTACAGTGAACTGCAGTGACGTGCAGTTAAGTGTTTGATGACATACTTTCGTGCAAGATTCACTGCCATTAAATTTACGCAAGATACAATTCTACTCTGCTAAATTTATTCGTAAACATTACAGCTTCCGTCCTAGGACGGGCAAAGAAGCTAGTCATATATATACAGTATTGTGGCTTCAGAAACTGTTTTGCAGAATGACTCTTGTGACTTTACGAGAGAATGCACCATTACCAATCCCACTAGTATGAAAAGGTAAATTAATCAGAATACGTTCGACGCCACCGTATAAGCATTTCTCCCTTTATCAAAAAAAGGTGGACACACTATAACAAAAATATAGTCAGAATGGTTGCCATTGTACTCAAATAAAACGCATCTTTGTGGGTACACTAATTTATACCCACATTAAATTCTTCGAAATGGACATCTCAAATTGTTGGACCGCCACTGGCGTGGGTGGGTATCAATTATAAACAACGTGCTTGAGTGAACATAAAATGGTTCCATTTCCTGGTATATTTCTCCCAGTCCCTGATCCTTTCTCAGTCTCTGTCTTTGAGGTAAGACATCTCCAGCACTGATCTCGGGTCCAATTCTTAGTCCCAGATCATCACTCGCAAGTCCACGGTCTCCACTCTTGGCCCTGGTCCTAGCCTCTGGTTCCCCTGGACACCATCCTGTGATCCTCCCCCCTCCCTAATCCCTGGCTGCCATTTTTGGGCCTCGATCTTGGTCTAGTCAAAGCCACGGCAGATGTGTCTGCCTCCTACACAAATGGACAAATTACGAACAGGCCACAAGTGCCGTGTGCGGGTCACGAATCTCAAACACGATGACCGCAGAACAAACCACCACTGCTCGCTTCGACCATTCACTGGCAACATTTCACAATATTCACCATGTGGCTTCACCTGGAGTCGTCCAACTGGCTCGCTCATTCACCAAGGGTGGCACAGTCGGGTTTTTTTACAATCGGGTTTAATTGTCTTTTATATTAAACCCGATCATCTGAGATTGGGAGAAATCCGGTTTAATTGGTTCTAATTGCAGAACCGCACTCGCCAACTTCTCAACGATGGGCTTCATCCATTCCAAGCTAAGGAACTCACTGTCACCCACGATTGTGGAGGAGCTCGTGTTCATCAAGACCAGGGGTCGGCAACCTACGGCTCCGGAGCCGCATGCGGCTCTTTACATGCTGCTTCTTGACGATGAGTACAGTATGTACTCAGATGCATTGCGGCTCTTGAAATACTGAATTTTGTACCGAATTGGAAAGAAATGGCTCTTCTTGTTATTTTGGTTGCCGACCCCTGATCAAGACCAACCTGCCCGCCGCATTCTACGACTACCCCGTGCCCCACGGTCCCGAGTACGATAACAACACCGACGAGGAAGCAGCCTAAAACCTTGGATCAGTGTTTCGTATTCATGAAACCAGGATTTAATTCCACGAAATCGGGTTTAATTGTATCAAAGAAAAAACCCGATGCCTGCCGCTGGAAAAATCGGGTTTTTTCCCACCCATGTCACTCACGTGAACACAGAAACGTCGCTAATCAACTGCCCCACCACCGTCCACGCCAAAGAAGGCAGCTACTGCTGGCTGCTTGGGTCCCCAAGCCCCTTGTGTCTGCCAACCCCAAACCCCGAACTCACCCCTTTGCCGAGCCGCTTCTTGATGTCGTACTTCACCAGGATGTGCGAGTCGATGTCGGTGTTCATGGTTGTATCGAGATGCCGTTGTCAAGCGATGCGACTAACAGCACTTACCAGCCCCTTAGAGACGAGCACCTGGGGCCCTTATACAGGCACCACGACCGTCGGATTTACCTGTTGAGATTACTGTTCGCATTTACCCGTCAGATTACATGTTACAGCACTCGTTACTTTCGTCAGGTTACGCGTTACTCTATACAGCTGTGCTATAAGGTGGCGTTACCTTTAAGTAATGACGGTAACGTTGATGTAGCCACATCAACCTAGCTACTTTAACGTAGGCGATGCCGTACGTGATGCTTTCGATGCAAGCGAATGCAATTTCTGTAATGTAACCGACGCCGTTCGCGTAGATGACGGCAACGCAGCTAATGAACGCAACGCAGCTCGAGTGATTAATGCGGCTCGCCTAATTACCCGTGGCTAACGTGGCTAACGCGAGGAGGGTGGTGGTGGTGGTGTCAGAAAGTCGACACGGAAACGCAGGCCAACTCGCCTTCCCAGGCCAACTTCGCCTCACCGACTTCAGCCCCTCCTCCTCCTTCTCCCTGCCTTGCGTTCGCCGCGGTTAGCAGTAGTCAACTGGGAAATCGGAGCGACGCCACCGACTTTTGTTTTTAATTCATCGCCCAATTAAGAAAGTCCATTTGCTTGTTGTTTTGCGTTGAAGCCGACGACGAGAGCGAGGCAGACGCAAGGGCGGCGCGCGGCATTGTGGGGGGGGCGGGGCGGCGTGTGTTTACACCGCGTCGCCCTGGGAGACGGCCTAAGCCAATGGGAGCGCTCGGGGCGGTTGTTGATGAAGGGGTGGGGGGGGGGGTTCAAACTATAGCCCCGCCCACCTGCGTCATTAGTTGCCCCGCCTACTACCTTGACAACCCCGCCCGCTGCATTGGTAGCCCCGCCTACTTTATTGATAGCCCCGCCCACTCTATTGGTAGCCCCGCCCACTCTATTGGTAGCTCCGCCCACTCCATTGGTAGCTCCGCCCACTCCATTGGTAGCTCCGCCCACTCTATTGGTAGCCCCGCCCACTCTATTGGTAGCCCCGCCCACTCCATTGGTAGCCCCGCCCACGGCGTTGGTAGCCCCGCCCATTGAAGTGATAGCCACGCCTACTTTATTGGTAGCCCCGCCCACTCTATTGGTAGCTCCGCCTACGGCGTTGGTAGCCCCGCCCATTGAAGTGATAGCCACGCCTACTTTATTGGTAGCTCCGCCCACTGCATTGGTAGCCCCGCCCGCTTCATTGGTAGCCCCGCCCATTGAAGTGATAGCCACGCCCTGTCGCCAGAATCGGGATAAAACGTATTCAAACTGGAGGAATCCGATGAGCTATAAAGCTCTTTATTTCCACAGATATCCTGTAGGGGGTTGTTCACCAACGTTCCAACAACAAATACACAATAAAAACACACGATAGGAGTGCAAAGTGTTGGAAGGGTAAATAAATTACTTGAACATATACGAATGAAACTAAAACTATTGTTGTTTTCTTACCATGGCCCACGCCTAACCAAAGCCTCGCTCTCCACCCCCGACCACCGCTGCATGCTCACGACTGGAAGTGGGGAAAACTGCGACAGCACGTCGGACGAATTTATCCTGCAATTTGGTTTGATGGCAGCACTAATCGGGTACAAGCAGAGAGGATTTTCGATTTTTTTTTGCATCTTTGTTGCCTTTCTAGTAGTTGCGAGCGATTTCATAGCCCGAGTGTCAACTCACACGTGGTCACGCCAAAAGTATTATTGGAAAATCTTATTTGGCCATAACGTCTTAGGGTTCATCCATAAATGACGTCACGCACCTGGGGGGGGGTCAGACATTTGTGACGATGTGTGACGACGGGGGGGGGGGGGGTGAGAAATTTGACGTCACATCAAAATGCTCAACTTTAAATAAATAAATATAGACAACACGTTCTACTTAATTAAATAGACTTTTTAATACATGTTTCTCCTACATCATCAGAGTGCAGCGCCACATTAAAGACGCACTACAATGACAAGTTCAAGTTCATTTATTAGGTATAGCCCTGTGAGCCATTCGGCTCTTGAATCGGGTGCAACCGCAACAAACAAAAAACTAAAACATGAACGAAAAAATCTTAAAGTGAGTATGTGACTAAGTGCAAACAGAAAATCCAAGAAAAAACAGCAAAATATTGCAGAAAAAACACCGTACACCAACGCTGTGTGCAAAAATCCCAGGGGGATGCAAGTCAAACAACAACAATAGTTTAAAGCGATTTGAAGCATGTTTTATTTTTTGGGGGGAGGGGGGGCAGAGCTTTGTGACGTCATAGTTGAGGGGGGGTCTGACTTTTTGTGACGCCGTGTGCCTAGGGGGGGGGGGGGGCTTACCTAACGCTGTCCCAATGATATTCATAACCCTTAACCCCATCCTAATCCATAATCCTAAGACAATCGCCTTTGGAAGTGTGCGATAATCAATTTTCAGGTTTCTGTGTTGAATGAATCAGTCAAGGATTTTAATGAATACGTTAAGTCAAATAGACAACTCTGAATCAAAGAATGCGTCTAATTCTTCTTGGTTCTTTCGGTAAAGTCACGTAGAAGGGAAATAATAAAATAATAAAACATAATAAAATAAATTCTCACGACGTTTCGGCCACAACGCAAGCAGCCGTCCTCAGGTGGAGAACAGGTCTGTCGAGAAGACAGCGCTATTTTATTATGTTTTATTATTTTATTATTTCCATTCTACGTGACTTTACCGAAAGAACCAAGAAGATGAATCCCTGCAGTCACGAAAGCTTTAAATCGAAATTTTATGCGTCTAATTGTTTATATGGATAACGAATTAATCCATAAATGACGATTATATATAACCTAATTATTCAATATATTATTACCATTTATTAGACGACCAATGAATGAATAGGTGACTCAACAAAAGTAATTGATTCAATGAATGAATAAAAAATTAACCCGTAAAAACAAAGTTTTTCACTCTAAATCCTTTATATGCGTGGCGGCTAGAGTCCTCTCGTCCTCTGGCTTGAGATGGCTGCCACCTATGGGTCAGATGATTGTCTGCCAGTATTAAGCAATTGGTAATTAAATATTTAATTTGTTTTCCCTAAACAGTGTAAAGTTTTGGAAAAAAAATTTCACGAACATTAATTGTCTCGCACAACGAGTCTGTGTGCAAAATGTCAGCTCGATTGGATCACGGGAAGTGGGTTAAAAAACGACCGAAAGATTTGCACGGTCGTAAGCAAGCAAGCGAACTTAATATAAAGGATTTAAAAATTGGAACACGATGGAATGAATCAGTATGCGCATGAATCAACTTTAAAACATTCATCAATAACACTGCTTAAAAAAAGACTATACGGTCTAACAAACGAATTAATTAACAACTCAAAACGTCGCTGCACGTAAACATATCGCCAAATAAAAAAAACTAAATTAATAACTCGATGAATTCATAACTTTGGTGAATAAATTGATAAATTAATGAATGAAACTGCCCCGTGACCCCGGGGTTGTTTGCCTATCGCTGAGCACATTGAAGCCGAATCGTGGCCGCGTTTCCCAACACCAAACGACTCTCTCACCCCCAGCGAGACGAAACGAGGTGAGAATCTCACTTGTGGTTGTTCATCATCATCTTCTTCTCGTGGTTTCATTTGAGTGATAGTTTTATCTCTCTCGTCTAGAGCCCCACCACTCGTCGCTGCCCGCCTACCCCGTAGCCCGTAGCCCGTTCGTCTCCACCGGTCTCGCCTGGATTTTTAGCCGGAGGCCTTGACGGGTAGGCCCCGATGCAAGGGCCGCGTCCCGGCACCTCTGGAAATCGCCAATAAACCACGACGAAAAGACGCATCGGATGTTTTGCTAGAAATGCTACTCAAGTTTAAGTAAATGTTGAGGGCACGTTAATTGCAGGGGGGAGTGATCGATATTCGTAATGAGCAGACACAGCTGGGTTAACTTTAACCCAGATACATCGGATCGAGGGTTTGAGGGTGGGCTGGGCATCGGCGTTCCAACATCATCATCGGCTCTTAGGTTTTTTCGGTAAAGGCACGTAGGTAAAAAATAAAAATAATAGTAGAAATAAATAGAAAAAAAAATATGAGTTAAATTATAATAATTGCAAATAAAATAATAATTGCACAGCTAAATGAAGACGGAGACTTGTGTTGCCTCCGAAACGTCGAGATTTAATCGATTTATTTTCATTTATAAAAAAAAATATTTATTTTATTATTTATATTGTTTACCTACGTGACTTTACCGAAAAAACCTAAGAGTATGAATCCTTGCAGTCACGAAAGCTTCAAATCTAGAATCATAATCGGCCCAATGGCTAACAGTATTTTGTAATCCATAATACAGGTTTTGATTTTTAGGTTAGATCACGTAAATATGTGTCGTTAAACCCGCCACCACCCGACAGCCAACCAGTAAGGGTTGTCAAGTAAACAGAACGTGTCAATTCGTCACTAATACAGCACTAGTGTGTAGTGTAGAGTAATGTAGTGTATAGTGTAGTGTATAGTGTAGTGTACTAGTACAGCACTAGTGTGTAGTGTAGAGTAATGTAGTGTATAGTAGTGTAGTGTTTAGTAGTGTAGTGTATAGTGTAGTGTATGGTAGTGTATAGTGTAGAGTAATGTAGTGTATAGTGTAGTGTACTAGTACAGCACAACCGGTGTGTTGGAGAGCCAAGCCACAACATTTACAGCCTGAGTACGACGTTTCGCCAGTAATTACAACCAGCTTCATCAGGCGACAGCCAGATGTGTGGATAAGTCCTCAAGCGTTTGTAAATTCACGGCGAGCAAATGCACCGCTTCGAATCCACTGCTGGATGAGGGTCGTCTGGGTTTATTTGACCCATGCTTCACCGCGGCTGGTGAAGGCCGGTAGCATAGACGTTACAGTCCAACAATCGTATTGTTGTATTGACACTGTGCTGCTACAGACGGAATAACTCTGCTGACAGCAGCAGCAGGCTACGATGCCTGTGTTATGCATCGTGGTCGTCCATCCTCCTTCCGAAGTCTGACGAGATTGGGCTCATTCCATGTTGATTTGGCCATAGCCTGGCTGTGTGTAAACAGATTTCATTTTGCTTTTGGCTTTTATTTAAAATTTGCATGAGAAAACATACAGTGCCACCGTGATTAAGTATGGTCACGATGTGTACAGGCCTTCGTCTGGCAGTGGATTGACCAGGGGCTGTATTTATGGTCTTTTAAATTTACAGTGCAGTAAATCATGTGGTTGCAGTGCATATTAACAACTAGCCTTTTGCCCATCCAAGGACGGGTGTATTGCGGTAAATCTGAAACTTGCAAGCGAAAAGCAGACCGCGACGTGATATTCATTGCATTAATGTGTGTGCAGTTTGTAAGGGCGCGGTGACACAGATCTATTTCATTTAAAGGTTATAATCCCTTGTTCGTCATGACGTCCTTTTTACTTTGATGTCTCAACAGGGTGACGTGAGGGTTCTGCCTTTGTAGTGAGGGTTGTAAGTTGACGCCGAGGAGGGGGGAGGAGGCCCTTCGGCCCCTCATGTGGAGTGACGTCAGACGCTAATTATTATGAATGGTTGGGGGGGTCCATCTCGAGGCTGTCACATTATGATTATTAATGAGGGGGGCTGTTCGATGTGGAGTGACGTCACTTGCACATGATTATTAGAGGGGGGGCGGTACTCCATATTGAGTGGTCAACTGCTCATGATTATTAATGAGGGGTGTCCATTTGGAGGATGTCACCTGCTCATTAATATTAATTAGGGGGGCTGGTCGATGTGACGTCACGAGCGTTAGGGACAGACATTTCTGGGTGATTATAGTAGGTATTCATTTCGGGGGTCACACTCAGCCTTTCTTGATTACAATAAGTACCACTCATCATAGCCATTATCTGGACAGTCGATATTTTGTTGTTACGGTATATTATCTAATCAATGTGTTTCTCTATCTGCCAGGCGGCCGCGTAGGCAAGCAATTGCAGGACTGCATCTTTACGGTTTATGTGTATTTTGCATGTATTTGCTCACATGGGTCAGCGGACATCTCTTCGCAATGCCCCACGCCGAGATGAAGGCTACCGACCCCGAGGGTCCCCCCGTGACCCCTCACGCGGAGTTCGTTCACTGCCTGGGGGCCCCGACGCACGTCCTCAAGTACGGACGGACGCACATGCGGGGCCCAGGATACGATGGGCAGGGACCCCCCCAGATCCTCTTCATGCTCATTCCAGGTCAGACTCAGGATGGGCAATGTGTTTTCTGGTTGTCACCGCGTGTTGTTCGACAAGATGTCCGACGTTTCGCTCGACGTGCTGGATGCTTTATCAGGAACTGAAATTCACAGGGGTCGTATGAAATGAAGCGGCGAGTAGTGTTTGGCCCGCGGGTCGTAGGTGTCCCGCCCCAGTCATGAACACTTGGGCTTGGTAGGAAAATTTGAGATAGCCCCATACATGTACGAGAGTCTTTGAGCTCTGGCTCCATGCCTCCCGAGTTCTTGATCGAACAATGGTGAAATATGCGTGCATTTTAAGTTCTTCATGATTAAATTAGACAAAAACTTAACAAACCAAAATAATCTGCATCCTGGCATTTGTTCTACAAATAGCATCTCCGCCTCTTCTAAAAGTAGCCTCCCATAATATTGATGCTTTTAATCTGTTTTATGGTAATATTTTGTTATTTCTGTACATTAGCTGTTTTGATATGCTTTGATGCATTCACTTAACTTGTATTTTTTCCTCTCTTGTTATGTTTTAGATTTGTATAAGAAGCCAGAATTGCACTGCATTAGTTGTCACTTGTTCACCTAGGCCACTCTCAAAACTTTAAATGGGTTCTAACCTGGTAAAATAAAGTCTTTCATCATAATGATCATCATGATTAAATTTTAAGTTTAGAAAAGGGTATGCATAATGTTATAAAGGGATAAACGATGTTTGTGTTCACGGATGTGCGTGTTTACATGGATCGGTTTGTGCACATGGATGGCTTTGTGTACATTGATGGGTTTGTGTGCTCCAGGAAACCCAGGTGTTATGGATTACTACAGAACCTTCATGGCAGGACTCTACCAGGCGTTTAAAGGCCAATACTCGGTGTGGGGTATTAGTCACGCAGGGCACTGCGTTCCTCCTCCTGGTGAGCACTCGAATTCTCATGAAATTACTTCTCAGTTGCATACTTGAAGCTGCCCAAGATGCTAAAGATGTAACCCAAATAAACAAATGGCTCCTTGCTTATCGGTATGTACTTAGGATCTATGTACTTTGCCGCTTCAACCAAGTTTCAAGCTTTGGTCATGAGAAATTATGTTTTAAAGTTAAAATAAAGTGCATCATTATAGCATCATTATGGCGCTGGATAACTCCTCCTAGACCGCTTCACCAATTTAAAGTCATGATGTGTCATTTGAACATTTCATATGCCTATTTTTTTATGTCAAGTTCACAATTTATATATATGTATTGTTTGACCAGATAGATTGTGTGTTTACAGCTGGTCACGCGGTTCTCCGTTTTGGAACTCTTGTAAAAAGTGGCCTTTTTATAAAAATGTGATGTTGGTTGTTACATTTCCCCCTATGTGCTCATGCATCAAACTCTACTCATGATCACCGTTTCAGACCTGGAAGCTCATCAAAATGCGGACGAGCACCCAGACGTGTTTGGCTTGGATGGGCAAGTCGAGCACAAGAGGGCCTTCCTGCGAGAGCATGTGGGGCCTGCAGTGAGGCTGGTTCTCATCGGCCACTCCATCGGTTGCCACATCATCCTGGAGATTTTGAAAAGGGACCCACAGCTCAAGGCATGCTGTTATACGAAATGTCTTAGCGAGAATACAGGGTGATCTTTTTATAAGACAACCCACTGATTAATAATAACCTACACACCTACTTTATTCTCAAACGTTGATCAAATGCTCTGGAAGTGTTGGCTCCATATCTTGGAGGAGTTAAAATATTTAATAAGTGTATTGATATTGGTAGGAGATGTAAACCCTTTGAATGTTTTCCTCATCGCACTATTATTTTTCTGGGGTTTATTTAAATGGGTTATGCTGTATATACACAACACATTAACTGCCTATGGCTGAATCATCCTGAATTTACCAAATCCCATTGCAGCTCACATGCTACAACCTTCCAGAACATCCTGCATCAATCTCTCACCTCTGAGAATGTGTCCAATATACATATATTATTTGTTCCCTCCGAATTATCTTGCAGGTGATCAAATCTGTGCTGCTCTTCCCAACGATTGAGAGGATGGCCCAGTCTCCCAGTGGTCGAGTGATGACCCCGATCCTTTGCCGACTGCGGTACCTCGCGTACCCCCCGATCATCTGCCTCTCCTTCCTGCTCCCACTGCGAGCAAAGACCCTCCTGGCTAGTGTGGCCCTCTGGGCCAGTGGCCTCGGCCCCAAAACTGACCCCAACGCCGTCTCTGCATCCCTGAACCTGTTCAGCGTTCACTGCGCGGGTGGGAGCTTTGTTATAGTTTTAACGTGGCTTGTGTCGAAACATTTGTTCGTAAGAGTACGAATGTAAAATGGTTTTACAGATAACCTTTTTTATAAACACATACTCTCATGCATACAGAATGTATTTATTACATTATAGTAGATTATTGTAAGTAAATTGTGGTATTTTAACATTTGTACATTTCCTATTTTCAGCAAACAGCATGTACATGGCCAGCCAGGAGATGTACCAGGTTACGGAAAGGGACAATGTTACCATTCAGGAGCATCTTGACAAGGTAACTCTACAATATAGGGAAATCACATCACGTGGTTAAGACAATTACAATACAATGTGTATGTATCTAGTGTGTAAATGTGATTGCACCTCAATATATGTATGTTGAACTTCTTTCGTAGCCAACTGTGCTAACTCAAGATGAGAAACGGTTGGCATATTTATTCAATTCTATTGAGAGGCAGTTGGTCATAGGCCGAGGTAAAATGGAAGATTTTGGAGCTGAAATTGAACAAGGTCACAGGGCGTCAATAGCATAGATGGCGGAGTGAAGGGATTCCCAGAAAATGGGGGCAACAGAGGAGAATGAACGACCTCCCACTGAATGAATGTTGCTTGAGGGCTTTGACCGAAAGCCTTGGTTGTTGGAGTGGAGAGTGCATGCTGGGGAGTCACGCAAGTAGAGGGAGGCAGGAGTGAGTCCACTGAGTATCTTAAAATAATGAAATGCCATCCCACTTCACATTCACAGCAGCATTTAATCTGCACCTACTTGTAATACACTTCAAGGCCCAATATCCTTAACCTGGCTTTTGAATGACAGAGCTTGGCTCTGTGCCTCAGTAACTCATTTGTCTGAAAAATAGTGCGCGCTACAAATTGCATTACGATTAATCCACGGCTGGATGACGGCTTCCCCGTGCCAATATCGTTCAAAGGGGTTGTGATCATACTGCACTACGTTGTTCAGCGCAAGTTTAAGTGGGGTCCTCAGGTTCGGTTCAGTTATATCTTGACACTGATGTTAGCCTATGGCCATAACTGTTTGCTGGGATCAGAGCACACTGCGCCACCGCTCCTCCCAACACGATTAAACTTTGCAAATGTGGTGCTATTAAAACATTAAAAAGACTTTACATTGTGTGGCGTGTTACCGTCAACAGCTTATATTTTACTACGGAATGTCAGACCACTGGTGTCCTGTGGAATACTACCACGACATGAAGCGGGACTTCCCAGCGGGCGATGTTCGGCTTTGCGAGAAGGGCATTCGGCACGCGTTTGTGCTGGACTCCAGCCTGGAGGTGGCCCAGTTCGTGCACTCCTGGATCAAGGAGGTCCTCGTGTGAGCCCAAGTTTACACGGAGGCGGGGAGAGCCTGGGGGAGGTGGCAGATGCCTTGCTAAAGCAATTCTAACACTTTTTTTCTGGAGATGAGAAACTCATCAGATGGAAAGATGGCAATGTCACTCCTAAAACAAGCTTGTTGCAAGCATGCTGGAAATCAAAAGTTCCTTTAGATTGACATGCTATGAGTTTCCACTGTCAAAGTGCACATAAGTAGCATGGTAATGCATTCCACCATTTATGCACATTAATGTCCATATGTACAAGGGGTTGCCGGAATGTCAATGCTATGATATATGGTGCCATATAACACCCATGAGAATCATGTTGTCCGTTTTGCTAAATATGATTATTAGTTTATTTTTCTTGTGACAATATTTATAAAATGTTAAAAGTTGAAATGAGAATTTGCTCATGAGAATTGAGGCAGTGCTCATCTCCAGTTTACAGCTTGAGCCAGTAGTGGAAATTCGACATTCCTATGACATGGGTGAATAACCAATGTGGATCTTCCCTAGTGGTACTCAGTCATACCAGGTGGTTCAGCCATCTGGTATGACAAACAACTCGGAGTTGTAAATAATTAGCTATGAAATTAACGATTTGTTAAATGTTTCCTGAAGTAATTGATAGCATGGCATAATTTTTGCACTTAATTTGTGCACTGACGGTGTGTGAATTATGTATTGTAAAGTCGCAATAATTGTAAGATTTGTTGCAGGCATGTCAAGTGAACTACTCGAGGATCTTTCGAGTAATCTTTATTCGTAATGGACATACACCAAAGCACAAAAACCTTAAGAGAAAAGTGAAAAGTTTTTACAAAGCTATGGGAAAATTATATCGGGATAATTGTCGCATCATGAAAATTAATATTGTACCATGGAAAATGACATTGTGGCTACCCTCCTAAGTCCTTGCATACCTGCTGTTTGCAATTAACAAAAGCACTTTTCAACCAAAATGTTCCAATATTTATACCATATTGTTCAATGCAAATATTTAGTATTTTAAAAATGTTTAAATTACTATGAATGTTTTAAGATTTGAATTAAAATGATTGTCGCAACTTTGCTGTGATCTCATTTGTATTTTGCAGTATGATACTTCAAACTAATAGGCTGTGCATTGTTTAAATGTACAAATTACCGGAGCTGTCTCATCTATTTTCCTTAAGAATTTAGTTCCCAAAGAAGCTCCCAGTACACGGGAGAAAATCATCGTATACCTCGTGTCAAACAATACATGGTACAAACCCGAAAAAAAACAGCCATACAACACAACTACAAAAGCCTACTTGGTGTATTAAGAACCATTCAGTATTAGTAACATATTATGAAACAAGTCCATAGGACCCAGCAAATGTCATCGCCCCCATTACAGGCAAAGTATCAAAATGTTTTACAACCATCTTATTAAATAAATGGACAGCTGGCCTGTGGTGGGACTCAAGACCTGGTATTTCATTTCAATTATCAAGTCAAATGCTGAGTTTTGAGTACTGTGTTCAGGAATGCATCCATAGCGATCATTTGCAGGCTTGTGAAATAATGTCACGTGCTGGGAAAGCTAGCAAAATTAGTCGCCAGATGCCCTCAGTGTAGCCACGGGGTCACCGTGGGCTACACCGTACAGCCTCCCGAACCACCTCTTCTCAAACTGGCCAATGGAATGAGGAGTATCGTCGTGACTAGGAGTGTCGTCGTGACTACGAGCCTCGTCGGTCCCCTGTGATTCGTCTCCCGTCGTCCCCAATGTCACCAGGTCTTCCCCCAACACCTTAATCAGGACAACCAAGCGAAAGGAAAGTTTAGTTTCACTCGCCTACCAACAAAAACTTACCAATCTTATCGTTCATTTGCATGCTCTTACATCTTGTCGTTTGGCATGTCTGACGTTTTACTCTATGTTTAATCAGCAATCAACCCGAGGAGCTCAAATTTTTTGATGAAACTCCCAGCACAGAGTAAAAAGTCGGACATCATGCTGAACAACATGCGGTACAACTTAAAAACACATTGGAAAGCTATAAAACACTATCTTATATCTTGTATGACATCAGATATTCGGCAATAAGTAACCTCAAAGCAAATGTATTTAAGCTGCAATTTGTAACGTCTTACCTCTGCCATGCACATCAGAGTCGTTTCCCCAACGCCGCTTTTCTCCAAGTCTGAAGTGATGTTCGCTTGAGCCTCTAAGTTCCTGTCCAGGATGAAAGCCGACTGGGATGGACTGGAGAGCTGCAGAAGCAACCTGTTGCATTGGATTGGGAGTGACATTTGACGGCACAACATTGCGATTCCGTGTTGTTGGCCAAGAATTAACCATAAGCCATGATATATCCACTGCTGAATGAAAAGCTCCCCAAGTCATTGACAGGTCTCAAGGTCCTGCGATCTAACAACCTCACACCTGAAAATGTGCAAATGTAATAGCTCCATTATGCCGGTACACGTCCTTACCCAGCTGACTTTAGAAAAGTCTCTACCTTGCGTGTGTTCTCTAATCCACGTGTTCCTCTTTCCGTGTAATCCCAAGAACGCATCTCTCCACACATACGGCATCTGATTATAACATACCATTCAGCTATTATTAGTAAGCACTATGCAAAAATACACCACTATTGGCGAGCATCCAAAGCTTGTGAATCGGCATTCACGATGCAATACCTCTCCTCCTTACCTTGCTCTCACGCGACACGCACAAGCATAAAGCCTCCATCTTTCTGGTTCATCTGTCACCGCTCGCGATCCGCTCATCAGTTCCATCGATTCAGCATCTCCTGCTGCCGCTGCTGCAGCTTTTGTACACACGTCTGTTACACATTTGTTGTTTTCGCTCATTCGCTTCGCAGCTTCGTCCCCAACATTAGGCAGAGCACAGGTGCTGGCATCGTGGGAATCGCTATGAATGCAACTTTGAAATCCGCATGCAGTTGAGGGGTCACTGTTATCACACGGCCTGTGGCTGTCACAGTTGTGCGAGCTTCCACTGCCACAGCTGCCGCCTCCGTTGCTGTGGCTGTCACTGCCGTTGTGCGACTGCTCCCCATTGCATTGTTCGCCGCCCCGGGCGCATCGCGACAGCTCCTGGTAAATCGCCGCCAGCCGCCGCCAGTGCCAGGCGTCTAGCGGACGCAGGCTCGTGAGTCGCGTCAGGGCCGACAGCTCGCCCTGCAGGTGGCCGGCCTGCCGCTGGATCGCCGCCACCAGCGCGTGCACCACACAGTCGTGGTCCGTGTTCGTCGCGATGGTGCCCTGTTGCATGGCCACGGGTTAATCGTATCCTATCATTCCATGCCAGTGTTGCTCACTCATTTTCAGAGGGGGGCACTTTCACTGATAAGACATCCGTGTGAGGGCAGCCACATTTGAAATTATTGGGGTTTGACAGCATGATGGGGTGTTTTCACATTTGTGTATTGTCGGGGGTCAGACGTTAGGAGCGGCACGAAAGGCCACCAGGGGCTGCCAGTGGCCCGCGAGCCTTGCAATGAAGAACTGTGGTACACGTGGTGTTCGTGCGCTTCTTATAGTGCAATGCTATCTTAAAGGTGCAGTTTCAGTTATCGTCTGCAGTAGTTACGTGGCTATACCCAATTAGGTAACTGGCAAGTACTGTAATTGATCAAATTTGGACTGTGACACTGGCGTACATTGCCAACTTTTCTAATAACACCACGAGGTCTATAATGTACACTGTGAAGCAGGTGGTGCATATGTTGTGGTATTAACCAGGGCAGCCGTTGGGCTCAAACAGCTTCGCTGTACAAGCGGCAATTATTGTGGCTCTGCCATGCCATCACCCCTCTTGTGTGGGACGAGCATAGAATGCACGAATGCTTAATACTGGTAGGAACCTCCTGGTTACACCAGCCCACAGGGGATTATTGTGTCCGTCCGTCGTGCAGGGAGGGGCTGGGTGGGGAGGGAGGGCTGGGTGGGGAGGGTGTGGCTGGGTGGGGAGAGGCTGGGTGGGGAGGGTGGGGCTGGGTGGGGGGTGGGATGGGTGGGGCTGGGTGGGGGGTGGGAGGGGTGGGGCTGGGTGGGGAGGGGCTGGTCACCCCATGGTGCCGTTATAAAACTCAACGTTTAACCTACTCACGCCGGCTTGTGCCCACCCTCACAGTCGGGCATATTTGCGGGATACACCACGCCGCAGTTGACCCTGGCCATTGACCGAGCAACCAAACGTTCCTACCAGCTCCCTCTGCAGGAATGTGTTTTGTGACATGCGTTGAGTTTCGTAGAGAGCCACAGGTTGCGCTTCTTCCCGAGTTTATCGCTAAAAAGCAGCACACCTGTAAGCAGAGTGCCTCCAGGTCTCTCCTTGCCTTGACTGCTAGTAAGCAAGTTATATCTTTCTTCATGCATCCTTAATGTGTATTATATGACTGCTACGTATAATGCTGAATTGCTCATTTGGGATTACACACAGCAGCAATCATCATTCCCTCCTGGCAGTCTAACTGCCCGTTGGCAGGTCAGGGACACAGGAACAGCAGGTAACTGGGGGTGCCCTTGCAAAAATGTGCAGAGACACCCTGGCAAATGTGGTGTTCTATTAAACAACAAATACTTCTGATTTCTAAATACATATGTCAGAAGAAGGCTTTGTGGACAAATGTGTTTTTTTTTTCTGGCAGCATTTGTTTAAGCTGGCCAACACTGGACTGGCTTCGACGTTCTGAGTCTGGGCAGCGTGGCGTGTGTGTTCACGCCGCGTTGTACCAGGGTATGTGCCGTCTTCAGGGCCTCATCTGTGCGGCCCACGTGAGAGAGACAGCGACTCCGCGCCTCCAGCGCATCTCGCCGCACCGCCGTGTTACTGAGCGGCACCAGCGACAGGCAGGCATCGTACCAGCCCAGGGCGGCCTGCGTCACGACACCAACACACCATACACCACCACCAAAAACTATTACCACCATACACCACCACCACTTACTATTACCACCATACACCACCACCACCACATACTATTACCACCATACACCACCACCACCACATACTATTACCACCATACACCACCACCACATACTATTACCACCATACACCACCACATACTATTACCACCATACACCACCACCACCACATACTATTACCACCATACACCACCACCACATACTATTACCACCATACACCACCACCACCACATACTATTACCACCACAAACCACCACCACCACATACAATCACCAACACACCCCACCACCACACACCATCACCATTACAAACTATCACCACCACATACACTCACCATCATACAATACTACTACTGTACTACCAGTATCACTCCAGTAATCATGCAACGTTGGTTGACGGTTGGCTCAACCCTTGCATGTTAACTAGGACGACACATACCACCACCACACCATAGCCACAATTTGGATCACCACCTCTAACACCATCATCATCCACACAATCGCCACCGCCATCCACTCGGCAAACGTGACAAGACCTCAACCAGAGACGCTCATTGCGTTAAGAGGCTGAAATTCATTGATCATGGACAGCGATGGGAACACGCGGAGCGGTGGTAGCGAGAATAGGATGGAATAAGCATGAACACTGGGGTAGGAATGGGGGGGGGGGTTATGGGGGAACAAGAATGAACACTGGGGCAGGAATGGAGGGGGGGCTATGGGGGAATAAGCACGAACACTGGGGTAGGAATGGGGGGGGGGGCTATGGGGGAACAAGAATGAACACTGGGGTAGGAATGGGGGGGGGGGGCTATGGGGGAATAAGAATGAACACTGGGGTAGGAATGGGGGGGGGCTATGGGGGAATAAGCACGAATACTGGGGCAGGAATGGTGGGGGGCTATGGGGGAATAAGAATGAACACTGGGGCAGAAACGGGGGGGGCTATGGGGGAATAAGGACGAACAATGGGGCAGGAATGGGGGGGGGGGGGGCTATGGGGGAATAAGCACGAGCACTAGGGCAGGATTGGGGGGAATGGGGGGTATGGAGCAGTTGAAAGAAGAGAGGGCCGGAGGAGCAGAGGGTGGAAAGGGGGAACAGTGAAGTAGCACAAACAGAGGGGAGTAGTGGGAGAACAGGAGGGAAGGATGTGTAGAAGCAGTGGGGGGGGGGGGGGACAGCCATCGCTCGCGGAGGGCAAGCAGGAGCAGAGACGGCATGGGGAGCATGGGATGGAGCAGCAGCAGTAGCTGCAGCAGCAACCCACGGCGTAGTCCCGAGCCCGGTAGGCCGCGTCGCCGCGGAACTTGTGCAGGGTGAGGCGCTCCGAGTCATCCCGACACCGCGCGTCCACGTCCCGAGACTCGAACCACTGCAGCGGACGGACAAACGCGTGCGGTCACGGGCAGCAGAGGGGCAGCAGGTTCCCGGTGTCCTCTGTGTGCTGCTGCTATTCCACAAGACACGATCCCCTCCAAATAACAAGGCCGGCCGGCCTGCCGCTGCGAGCGTCAGGCCTTGTCCGCTCGCCCTCACCTGGGCCTCGCACAGCTTGGCGCTGTAGCCCGAAACGTCGGGCCCGTTCCTCGTGCGTGGCCTCTCCGCCGCGAACAGCGAGTCGGAGAAGGCGAACTCCTCCATCAAGCCGATCGCCGCCGTCTCGTCCACGTGCGCGCTCGGACACTCGGGATCTGCTAGCCATGCCTGGCTCCCTTTGAGCCCCCACCCCATACCCCCAGCCCATACCCCCAGCCCATACCCCCCCCCACCCCATACCCCCCACCCCATACCCCCACCCTCACCCCCACCAAACCCCCACCCACACCCCCACCAAACCCCCACCCATACCCCCCACCCTCACCACCCATACCCCCCACCCTCACCACCCATACCCACACCCCCCCATCCATACCCCCCACCCATACCCCCACCAGACCCCCACCCCCATACCCCCACACCCCCACCCCCATACCCCACCCACCCCACCCCACCCACACCCCATCCCATCCCCCTCTTGCGAGGCTGATGAGTCGAGTGCGGAAACGCGGATCGCGGAGCACGTGCTGCCAATTCTTATTTTTATTATTACACACTTGTTTTACTCTGTTGTGTTGTATCCTCAAATAGTGTAACTACATTTTAACCCGACTTCCCAATGTCGTATCGACTGCAAACTTGGTATACTTATGTCATACTGATGACAAGACAATATTCTATCATAAAAAATGTCTATTTTTAAACAATATTTTTTATATGTTATGTTTCGTATACTTATGTCATACTGATGACAAGACAATATTCTATCATAAAAAATGTCTATTTTTAAACAATATTTTTTATATGTTATGTTTCGGCTTGGGTCTAATTGTCCACGCTCAACTGACGTTGGCTGTAATTGACCATGGTCCCTTACGTTATGGCAAGCTTCGGGGCCACTTCCTGGAGTCGTGGAGTTCTTCCATTACTCGTACGGTACATTTCATTAAAGCGTGTTTAAAAAAAAAGTATTTTTAAATATTACTTATTATTCCTTCGTTTGGCTGCCGATGTAACATGCAAGAGCAACGACGACAATCTCACATTCAAGGTGGTCAAGGCAGAACAACAGCGTCAGGAGCAGTAGCGGAGTGGATGTCGATGATGTCTCGTATTTGTGGATCGGGGCATTTGCGTCGTTATAACACATTGTCCTGCGGAGGGAGCTGGTAGGAACGTTGGGTTGCTCGGTCAATGGCCAGGGTCAACGGCGGCGTGGTGTATTCCGCAAATATGCCCGACTGTGAGGGCGGGCACAAGCCGGCGTGAGTAGGTTACACGTTGAGTTTTATAAGGGCACCACGGGGTGACCAGCCCCTCCCCACCCAGCACCACCCCACCCAGCCCCTCCCTGCACGACGGACGGACACAATAATCCCCTGTGGGCTGGTGTAACCAGGAGGTTCCTACCAGTATGATGCAATTCAAAAAGTATCATCATTCTGCAATTAAGAGTCCGCTTGTCGAATCAGGCCAACATTGATTTCCTCCCCCCACGCCTGCAGCTCTGCCCACCAGCATGGCGGACATTTAACCCCCGGTTCGTCCAAGAACTCAGCAACGTTCGGTGACGTCATTTAGTGTTGTCGGTTTTTATAGCGTGACGTCATTTTGTTGTGTAAATTATATACATAAGTGACGTCACTGGCGGGCAGTGGTGGTGGTGGGGGGGGCCCAACTGTCCCGGATGAGAGAAATTCGACGCTCATTTTTGAGGTGACCGCGATTTTTTTCATCGAAAATTTGGCGCGCGGGGACAAAAGGAGAGCGAAAGTCGCTAATTAACGGAGGGGGGGTCCAATTAGCAGTGATTGCGAACACTATCGAATGTTATTTCATCTCCAACTTCGCTCAACTCGTCCGCCGCCTCGCGTTCTATACGATCATCACGACGGAAGCCACGTGTTTCGCTTGTGGCCCTGCACGCGTCTACGGTTGGAATCGTGTGTGTTTTTGTAACTATGATGTCGTGATCGTAGCCTATCGATCGTCTCGATTCTCTTAATTCTTGCAACTTCGCTCGATCCAACTAAAACTTAATTGCAACTGAGGCGAGTGCGATGGCCGTGGCTTCGTGGGCAAGGCCCGGACACCATTTTGAGTGTCCATGGCCTTGGAACAGAAATATTCAAAGCCAACTACTAAGGTAGCAAAACGTTTAAGTTATCACCGATTTTTAATCAATTCAGACGGCTAATTTCCATTGAATTGACAACGGCTCGCACAACTAAATTAAAATGGTACATTATTTACTTGTTTTAGGCCATAAAAGGAAAAATATAACTGATAATGTTAGGGCCACCTCGGATGGCAGCCATCAAGTGGACTATTGCATTTTTTGTTAAAATCATCGCTCGGAATGCGCCCGATCTTGTTAAAGTTATGAAGCTAAAGAGGTTTGAGCCTGGGTATCGCTCGGGATTCAGAGGGTGGAGGGTTACCACCTTGCATAACAGGTGTTATAGGCGGCTCGCATGGGGGCTGTTCTTGTTGTTTGGCAATGTTACGGAGTTAAACGCCAATGGCGAGGAGGTCTGCTGTTCGTGACGAGAGGGCTTCAGTAGAGAGAGAGCGAGTTCGCGTAGGTTTGCTAGTTCTCCGCTAAAGTTTAGATTGCTAGGCCTGTCTTTAACGTACAATATGCACGTATCTGAAGGTCTTTGAATCTGTGTGCCTCTGAATCTCCGCTTGCCGTATGGCCCATCTGTTCCATCTGTTCGGCAGCTAAACGCCAAACCCGCCAAACCATGTCCATGGTCTGCTGTAGTCACGACGAGCGGACTTCGTGAGAAAGTCCGTGTTGTCGTCGTCCTTATCCCTCGTGTTGGAGGACTGCAAGACTCCACCGGTGACTTAAAATAGGAGGGCGTGGGGTATGTTGTGCGTGGTGTCGACTGGCTCGCGCCACGTAGTTATCTCCACACTCCTCCAGCGTGGTGTTGATTAAACAAGTTGTGGCTTTGTTGAAGAGGCAACCACAGGCATTGTCAATGTTGGCAAGCAAGGCATCGTTTTAGGTGTGTCTAACGAGGCCTTTAAGAAGGCCGTATACGTCTCTACGCTTTTTTTTCATCCTTTATATTAAGTTCGCGTGCTTGCTTGCTTAGGACCGTGCAAATCTTTCGGTCGTTTTTTAACCCACTTCCCGTGATCCAATCGAGCTGACATTTTCCACACAGACTCGTTGTGCCAGACAATTATTGTTCGTGAAAAAAAATTCCCAAAATTTTACACTTTTTAGGCAAAAAATTTTTATTTTACATATATTCAAATAGAACGCATTCATGGCTTTGGCTGAACGTCAGAGTGTAAGAGCCCAGAGCCTAACCCCTCCACAGGCCGTGGTGGAGTAGCGCATTTGGTAGCGCCCTCGCTTCCCATGCCAAAGGTCGCGGGATCGATCCCCGCGTCCTCCACAGGCGAATATATTTCTAAATCCTTTATATTAAGTTCGCCGCCACGCATATAAAGGATTTATAGTGAAAAACTTTGTTTTTACGGGTTTACTTGTTTAATCCTTTATATTAAGTTCGCTTGCTTGCTTGCTTGCGTGTTTGCTTGCTTGCTTACGACCGTGCAAATCTTTCGGTCGTTTTTTAACCCACTTCCCGTGATCCAATCGAGCTGACATTTTGCACACAGACTCGTTGTGCGAGACAATTCATGTTCGTGAAAAAAATTTCCTAAATTTTACACTGTTTAGGGAAAACAAATTAAATATTTAATTACCAATTGCTTAATACTGGCAGACAATCATCTGACCCATAGGTGGCAGCCATCTCAAGCCAGAGGACGAGAGGACTCTAGCCGCCACGCATATAAAGGATTTATAGTGAAAAACTTAGTTTTTACGGGTTATACTTATTTAATCCTTCATATTAAGTTTGCTTGCGCGCTTACGACCGTGCAAATCTTTCGGTCGTTTTTTAACCCACTTCCCGTGATCCAATCGAGCTGACATTTCGCACACAGACTCGTTGTGCGTGACAATTTATTTTCGTGAATTTTTTTTTCCAAAATTTGCACTTTTTAGGAAAAAATAAATTATATTTAATTACCAATTGCTTAATGGTGGCAGGCAATCATCTGACCCATAGGTGGCAGCCATCTCAAGCCAGGTTACTGAGAGGACTCTAGCTGCCACGCATATAAAGGATTTATAGTGAAAAACTTTGTTTTTACGGGTTAATTTTTTGAGAGGCGAAGTTGAGAATGAAAAGCAACATGGCATTACGCGATTTAAATTCTAAAATTGGCATTTCATCACCGTCTTACGGAGTTGTTTTATTGGACGTATGTCACCTTTTGTTGTGTGTAATTTCACGGAACTCGTTCTTGGCTTTTTATTTGACTGCCCACTTTCATTGCACGGTCTGTTATAATGCGAGACACCCCCCCCCCGTCAATAACACTTGGGCCCTCAAGAACACGTATAGAGTCTCATTTGTGGTCGGGTCGCTTCTGCAATAAAAGCTATTTAGCGCAGTGGGCCTTACTTAGTAAAATAACCGAAAATAGTAACACTTTAGTGTTTTATTTTTTTCAATTTTCTTGCTGCGGATTTCACACCTGATTGCTTGTGTTGCAGTCGAAACGTCGTGAGAATTTTTTTATATTTTGATTATTTCCCTTTTACGTGACTTTACCGAAAGAACCAAGAATATACTTGAGTTTGTGTTTTAATGAATTTCATTTGTCTACTCTGCATGCGGGTGTAGGCTGCCCACAGACATTGTATTAAGTGCACACATTGTATTAAGTGCACGCATACATCCCCTCCATGTGCTGCATGTGTTGTGCTGCCTAGGGTTAGTCATTATTACACTTATCAGAATGCACTGATTTATGAATTAAAATCAGTCCAGCTCAAGACATGTATACAAGCTTTCGTTTGAGAAAGTGTTAAGATTAATGCCAATATGTGTAGGTAAATGGTGAAAACAGCCTACAAATGGAATAATGGCGAAACAGTACAATGGAAATGGTAGCAAAGAGAAAAAAATATGGAATAGTATTAATGCTGCATTGGCAGTGGTGGACAATGAACAAAACTAAACACTAATAAACAACAGCTTAAAAGAAATATATCGATATAAATCGGCGACGTTTTGGGAAATGGCCCTTGTTCATATCGCACATGGCGATGATCTATGCAACTTTATTTTAGGCAAGTCACAAATAGCAACAACTACATTAGTAATCAGTTAGTGGTAATGTAGCATAATCACAATAAAACACATTCCAAATGATTACTAATCTACAACTCGCATCGTAACAATAGCCTGATTACTAATCTAGTATATAATTACAATCACTCCCCCCTTGAATCTTGGCACCTGATGAGTTAATGAGTTAATGATGACGTCACCCTGCTGCTGCTCTATATAAGAACGGGAGACACAGGAGAACCTCACCATTCTGGCGAATTGCCCGATGATGCTGGTTGCAATTACCAGCGAAACGTCGTACTCAAATTGTAAATGTTGGGGCTTCAACACACCGGTGGGCTAAAGCAGTGAACTATTTGTCTTTGTCAACGTGACACTTTTTTACTGATTGGCCGTGTCGGGTGGTGGAGGGTTACGACACATTTATAAATAAACGCGATCTAAACCCAAAAACGTTGATTATGAATAACATTGGTCGCGAAAGCCTACGTGTTAAACTGATGTATACCATTGACCGTCGTGTGAAAGGTACTAAGAGGAAGCAACGAAATATGTCAATGGGAGAGTGGTGAAAGGAGACTTGCAGCAGAGCAAAGACTCCATTCCCTGCGGAGAATACAAAAGATATATAGTCAATGCCAGTGAGTGGACTGCGGTCCGAAAGTCACTGTAAATGTGAACACAATCAGTTAAGATCTGAAATGGTTTATTACGTCCTTCCAATGATTGTTGAGCCAGAATCCATCTTCTCGGTTGAAATTGTCTCCGTGTTTGTATATGTGGATCGCCTCATGAACGAATCTCTCATGGTAGCCAGATGGCTTGCAGAGAACCTCTGTCTTGGAGAAGTCAATGTCATGTGAGCCCACTGAATTGTAACAGTGATCTGCCACAGCTGAGGTGTTTGTCCAACCGTGTTTCAGGTCTGCTTCATGTTCACGGATGCGGTCCGAGACGTGTCGTTTGGTTTCTCCAATGTAACTGCTACCACAGAGGAAACTTAGTTTGTAGACGCCAGGGTACTGTATGTCTGGAACCACATCTTTTACAATGCATCTCCGACCAGGAACACATTGCCAGTGTACTCAAGCACGTACGCCAAGCTCTTAAGGCTAATTGTTACTCCGACTACACAATCCGCAAAGCCATCACTCCAACCATCAAGAAGGATCCTGTTGAGGAGCCATTCAAAACTACTGTGTTAGTAGCTCAGCTTATTGGAGAGTATATTTAGTATATTGATATTGATGTAGTTTATATTTTAGTTTTTTACGTGGTGGTTTAGCTGCTGCAGTTCCTTACCATTAAAATTCCTTCCCTTTATTACTGCTAACCCTACTTCCTCCCTTTGTTGCTGCTAATCCTACATAATGCACGAGCATAATATGACTTTGAAACCCCCCCCCCCCCCACCTACGCATTCCACAAGTAGTGACTAATCCCATATCTGCATTTTCCATAAATATGCTAAATTCCTCTGTTGATATGCAAATTCCTTTGTCAAGGCGCCCTTCCTCCTCTAACCCAGCTTAAATATACGCTGCCAAGCTTGGTGGTGTTCATTCAGACGCTGTCTTTCCGCCAGACCTGTTCTTCACCTGAGGACGGCTGCTTGCGTTGTGGTCGAAACGTCGTGAGAATTGTATTTTATTATGTTTTATTTTTATTATTTTCCTTCTACGTGACTTTACCGAAAGAACCAAGAAAATGTATGCAGTGTCCTTGAAATTGATTGGTCCACACCCGAGACAGCTTTTCTTAGAGCCTAGTCTCACATGGTGTTGGACCAGATGACGCCAAAAGGCACACAACTCAAAGACAATGCACCATCAGAGTATGAGAGCTCGGGGTAAGCATTTACACCATTGGAACCTCGACCGCAGGCATTGTGGTCAATGCAAACATGACTCCTTGTAAAAAAGGTGTCAGTTTTGTTGCCAGATAAAAGGGTAAAAAAACTATTATCATATTTTGCTACTGGCAAAGGAGGTTCCAATGATGTACATAAATGTTTAACAAGTACAGTACTGTAGAGTATATTATCCACGAATCATCGGTAGCATCCAGGTTAGGTAGAACACGATATTTGTTTGGACTCGTTTCTTGCATGGGTGACAGTTTGCACGCCGTCAAATACATGTTCGCGTGATGGCGAGGAGTGATTTGACTCCTCGCTTTCCGCCCCGTGTGTGTAGCAAAAGTACGAGTACTCTGAGCCCGCGTACTCTTTTGAGACCTTACTTTACAAACATTTAATTAATATTTAATAATCTTCACAAGCATTAACATTACCTGCTCTACAGACATGTACAGCTCATGCTTTAAAGATATAATCCTTGGTGTTAAGGCAAAAAACTAATTGATTCTGGAAATTGTTATAATTTATCCAATTGCTTTGGCTTGGCGATTCTTTACGAGTTTTCAATATGGCAATCCTCTTGTGTGTCTGCTGTAAGTGTAGGTCACCACAGACCTTACTTTAACCGTGGTCATCCTTTGCTTGTGTGTCTTGTGATTCTAGGCCCACTCCGTGATTGACTTTCATCGTGGGCTGCCATCGCCTCCCCCGGAGCCATGAGCCGGTATCCGTGCCCGCTGAAGTGCGGCTACAAGCTGGACGTGCTGCTCAGCCATGCAGAGCCACAATCCCCCGACAACCCACTGCTGCTGCGCTTCTGGGCCCGCCTTACCCGGGCGGACATTGACGCTAACTTCAGCACCATTCGCAAAGCCGTTATGATGCCACCGAGCTGGGAGCCAGTAGGCTTGTCAACGCCACTCGCTGTGGGGGAGCCATGCATCGCCTGGTACAGCAAAGAGGCTAGCTGGCATCGCGCCAAAGTGTTGGCCCACGCCGAGTCACAACAGTCGCAGCAGGGCATCGTTCACAACTACCTCGTCTTCTTTATCGACCTGGGCTTAAGAGAGGTTGTGCAGGCCGGATTCATGCGTGAGGGGCGGCCCGAATTTTTCCAGATCCCTCCCATGATGCAGTGCTATGCCCTAGCCAACGTGCTGCCAATGAGCAATTGCTGGTCCAAGATGGTGCTCGACTATGTGGAATCGCAGCGCGACACGAAGATGCACGGTTGTGTGGAGGGTTTTCTGGACGACCACACCATCGTTGTCAACCTGGAACTCATGGTCACGCAGTTGTGCCAGATGCGCTGTGCACGCCGCGTCGACTCGAACGTGTTCCAGTTGATTGTCAAAATCATGGATGATGCGAAGCCTGAAACGGCACAGCTGCCCAAACTGCCGACGGTCTCCCCCGCAAATCTTGGCAACCTGAAGCACCACTTCAACGCTGAACCGCCTCCCATCATTCCACCTGCAGGACCAAAAATACGATCGGCTGAAGGTCGCCATGAGATGTCCGCGTTTTACAGCACCCGCATGCCAGTGGGCACTCTGCAGGCCGTACTGGTTACGCATGTAATCAGCCCCGACAGCTTCTTTTGCCAGCTGCAGAGCTTTAGGCTCGATCTGCAGCGCCTCATTCAGCTCATGGCCTTGCACTACCTGGAGGCGGATGCTCGCGGTGTCCAATTTCCACTGCCGCCAAATAGCCCCTGCGCTGTGCTGAACACGAGGATCGGGCAGTGGTACCGCGGGCTGGTTATCCACAACAGCTCGCCCTCTGAGGCGCTGGTGCACTTCGTGGACTTTGGCAATCGTGCCTGCATGCCGTCAAAACACCTGCAGCCTCTGTTGTCCGAGTTTTTCGACCTCCCTGTGCAGGCATTCAGGTGCGCCATGGTGGGGGCGCATGCCACCCTGCAGGAGGGCAGCCGCATCTGGTCCACCGAGGAGGTGCTGCTGCTGAAGTCGATCCTGTTGAACAGTGTCTTCACGGCGCAGGTGGTGTCCTACAACAGAATAGAAAAGCTGTATTACGTGGTGCTTTTGGATCAGAATGGCCAGTCTGCGTTCCAAAAGTTTTCTGAAATGGCAGCCACTCGGCCAGCCATGGAAGCCACTTTGCCAGACAGGGTAGCGACGGTGGCCACTCTGCCAGACACGGCAGCCACCGCCATCGGCCATGGTAGCGGCGTGCCGCCGTCCGTGATGGCACCGCCACCGATGGCTCTTGCGGGCGTGGGTGCGGGTCGTCCCGTCTTCACAGCGCTTAAGCTTCACCTGCAAAACTTTACACACGTGTACGCGGAGAACATCGTGAGCCCCGACGAGTTCTGGGTGCGCTTGACGAGCAAGAATGAGGAGTTTGAAAAACTCATGGTGCAGATGCAGAAGCATTTCAGCCTGGCAGGACCACACGAGGGCTTGCTGGACAAGTCAGCTGTCGGCATGGCGTGCTGTGCAATGTAACTACCAACACAATCATACAAACACTTCCCACCCTCTACCACTGCCTCTGTGTGGTGCAAATTAAGCACCAATATGCCCAAACATGCATCCACCCTCTTTTTATACCAGCACTGCTGTGGGATGTACATGACCAACCTCTCACCATTTCTCACTGCTTCGCTGTTTGATAATTACCTAACACCATTGGTGCCCTTGAGTAGTACCCTTGTCATGTGATTGTCAGTCACGAGAGGGCAGCAAAGATGCATGGAGACACTCATTAATCTTTTACATTTGACTTTGTTGACGGTTGTACATTTTCACTGCCGCTGGCTTTGTTCCGTCAGGTGCCCCAACAACATGTTCTACCGGGCCACGGTGACGGACGTGATCTCCGCAAGAAAAGTGCAAGTTCAATGCGTCGACTACGGCATCTCGCAATTCGTTGAACCGAAAGACATCCGAGCTCTGCCGCCTCATTTCCTGGTGCGTTTCGACGAGAGCGAGGATGGTCGCGGCCATGTGGCCCCATCTTAAAAATCAACCCTGAGTTTCCACGGCACAGCCAATTCTCGAGTCAACTCCAGTTGGCCAGATTTTATCGCCGTAGAGCTAGAGTTTTTGAAGGGTGTCATGTTGGCTCCAAAAAATCTGTTAGACAGGCCTTCAGCCCCTTCATCAAGCCACTGTTGAGAGAAAGGATTATCCATGCTGTGTCTGTTATGGGGGTTGTTGGACAATACTTCACCGCACTTTGCAGTGTGGTTTGGTGAAGAGGTGGGGGGAGGGTTCAAATTATTTTTGCACCGATGATAGCCGTGGCAGTGAATCAAACGTAGGTGGCTGGGCACATAAGAGAATATCATTAGCAAAATAGGTAAGCTTACAATGTTGCCTTCATATATTCATATCTCCACGTAAAAAAAAAAATTATTACATAACCCATTCACCGCACAGCCTCCTGAGATTCAATGCTGCTGAAAGTGGCGAGATGGATAGGTGAATGAGACATTGTCTACTTATTTATTTTGGTAGTTATACTCTGCGACAACACTCATGAATGTTTGAGTTATTTTCGAGCGTGTGAAATAGTTTGATCTAGGTCGAAGGTGATTATATAATTCCTTGGTTCCTTCTGGTCTGAACACCCCCATACTCAACTGTACGAAATAAATAACTGAAATTCATTAACTTGACAAAAGTTTATTTATGTAATATAGTGTTGCCATGTTTCTTATTGAAGGGCGTGTGTATTATCGACATAGATTAAACTGCCAACGTCTCCTCACAAGTCTCTAAGGCCGTGCTTAAAACTCCAGATGTTTGACTTGTGCTGCGTCTTGCAACTAAAAAAAAATGCCACCGTTCCTGACCAATGTTTTTTTTCATCTTTTGGGGTGGGAAAATACCCACGACGAAAACCCTTGTTTACGTTTGCTCACTAAGGTTGAAAAGCAATTATTGCATTAGCTCTGTCTGTGTCTGCAATAAGGGGCCATGACAGTAGCAATAAAGATGATCCAAAATTAAATATTACAGGAGAGTTGTGCTGCTATTAGGAATTGGACAATTAAAAACTTGCCAAATTAATTGAAGGATCGCCCAATACTTGACGGTAAAAATTGGAGGTAAGCAGATCAGCTCTCTCGAACCCAAATTCGTGATGTCACATGCCATGTGTGCGCCTCGTCCTCCCCGCTGATGCTATTGCGTGCGATGTAATTTCACAAAGTCACCCGCCACGCAAAGTTCGACGTCGGCTCGCTGTGCGGCTCGAAATGTCACCGATAATTAAAATACCTCCGAGGACAAATGCATTTTTATATTTTTCCGTGTTTCTCCCACGCAGGAGCTTCCCGCTTGCGTGGTGCGGTGCCGCTTGGCTGGCGTGGCGCCGCCAGAGGTGCGACATCAGGGCGGCGACCGCACGTCCACAGACCGCTGGAGCCCCATGGCAACCTGGTTCTTCAATTCGCAGGTCTTCAACAAGCATGTGGCGATGATTCCAAGGAGCAAGTCCGCAGACGGCTACGAGGTGGACCTCTACAGTATTGGGAAATCGGAGTCTTCCAGCATAGCTAAAGAGTTGATCAGAAGTGGGCTAGCAGTGGCCTTGTCTAGCCACGCTGAATTGCTCAAGGTGAATAGTGCTGGCGTCTCCGATTCGATGGTGGCGGCATCGTCTCCTGCTGGGCCGTCCTCTGATGGTGCTAACGACCATGACAGCGTTGTACCGCAACCACAGGAGGTGGCACCAGTCCCGAGACCGGCCGTGGGGGGGTCCATCACGGTAGTGGAACCCCTGATGTTTGTTGTGGGGGAGATGGCGGATGTCATCGTTACCTCCATTAAGTCGCCCTGGGAGTTCTGGTGTCGGCTGAAGTCGGCTGAAAGGGATGTCGCCTTACTGAACCGCAAGATGAACGAGCACTACCGTAACTGGAAAGCGCCATTGCCGCACTTGGAGGCCGGTGTGTGCGTCGCCCATTACGCTCCTGAAGACCAGTGGTACAGAGTTTTTATCTACGAGGTGGTCAAGGGCTCTCGCAGCATGGCCTCGGTCTTGATCCTGGATGATGGCAGGGAGGTGCAGGTCAGCACCAGGGACCTCTATCCGATTGACCCACAGTTCCTGAAGCTCAAGATGCAGGCCTTCAAATGCAGCCTCTACAATTGCCTGGAGGCCCACGAGGAGCAGAGGGACCAGGCCACGGAGATGTTCAAGAGCTTCACGAAGAAGGCCCTCGCTTGCGGTCTCAACTGCACCATCATTATGCTCGTCGAGCGCAACAAGAGGGACTTCTTCAACCTCGTGGACCTGCACACGCCGTTCCAGAGCGTGAGTGCGCAGCTTGTCAGCAGGGGCCTGGCCAAGCTGTTGGATCCGCCCGGACATCTGGCCGAGTCGGACTGCCCGCTGTCCTTCCCCTACTCGACGCACGGCATCAAGATCGGCGCCGAGGAGGGCGTGATCATGACGCACGCGGAGGGCCCGAGCAGGTTCTGGTGCCAGTTGACTCGCAACGACGACGCCCTCAAACTCTTCATGGTCAAGCTCGGCAAGCACTGCAGCCACGCCTACAGCAGGCAGACGTAGGTGGCGCGTGACTCGGCGTATGCTGGTTGTGTTTCGTGCGGAGCTTTGCAAAATCACGAGATGGTACCTTGCGCTGAATTTTTTTACCATGATATAACATTGCCAGGGGGCATTGCCTATTCCTGACCTTGGCCCCTCTCCAGGTATTTTTTCCTTCTGGGAAGTAACTGTAGAGTGCCTGGAACAACCACCACACGTTAGGGGTTTTTAACGCTCAAAGCTCCGCACAGATGGGTTCTTGGGGTTGAACACATTTCAAGGTCATCTGCCTCCAAAGCACCAGCTCAGAGGCATGCATCACGATGTCTGACAATCAGAATCTTTATCCTGGAAAAATCTGAACTATGAAGCTATTTTTCACATGTCTTGTAGGGTGGCAGGTCAGAAAGTGACAACACCAAACAATACAAAAACACGATGGGAGTGCAAATTATACGAAAGGTAAGTAAATAATAAAAAATAAATACACTAAAATTAAACTTTTATTTTATTAGATGAAGTCCACTTAGCTATTCTTTTTCAGAAGCGACCTGGCCACAAATGATAGTTCAACAAAGTGGCTTATGTGGAAATTTCTAGCAGCCAAATACGCACGTTTCTGAATGTGGAGGGAAAAACCAGAGATCCTGGAGAAAAAATCCATGCGACCACGGGGAGAACATGCAAGTGTTCAGAGGTGGAATTGGGTTGAATATACATTTTTTGAGAAGTTCCTCTTTCGCTTCCACTGCTTCCATAGTCTGGATCTCCTCCCAGCCATCCATGCTGTCGACTCCATGCCCTCGTTCAAATCCAGGCTCAAGACCTTTCCCCCCCCTGCCTATTACAATTGTTGCTTTCGACCTTAAAATAATAAAAAAACTTTCTCTAAGCTTGCCCACATCGTACCGCTCACTACAGCGTCTTAAGATGCGGTTCCATTTGGACGCTCTATACATCCCAGCTGGTTCCTGCTAACGCAGCGTGTACCTGATTACTCGCGCGATAACACGACGTGACGAGTGCTTTTGTGTCGTCGGTTCATACATTTGGCGCAACGGTCCTTCGCCGACTGCGTGATGAATTAATGAATTAATCTGGGCTGCTGTGTAACCTTTCCACCTGTGCAGGTTTGATATGAAAAGGCGATTGTGCTTTGCTCAGTACGCCGGTGACGGGCAGTGGCACCGGGCGTTGGCCACGCAGGGCCCTAACCCCAATGAAGTCAACGTGTCATTTATCGATTACGGGAACAACGAGGTGAGCAAGCTGCGACGCTTCACTCTTTTGCATACCCGGTGTGAGCTGGGAACTGTTTCTTGCTGTTTGGATGCGTTCCCAATGACGACGCTGCAGGAAATTACATTGCTTATTTTACGTCACTTCCACACTGATCCTGCCAAGAGTGGCGTTGCACAGAAATTGGTTGACGTGACCTTTGTTACCACGAAGGCTCGATAAATAATAACGTAATGTAAGTCGTCTTAAAATTTATCCAAATGAGATTATTTTAAATAGTTTTTTTTTTTATCCTGACAGAGTCCGCAACAGAGCGCCACACTTGTTTGTGTCGGGGGCCGCGCACATACCTGTCCGTAATACAGACCAATTCAGATCTTATTGGTCACCCAGGTCCCTTATAAATCTGAACCGTTCATCCTATCACAAGGGAGAAACACAAACAAATAGACAAAACTATATTTTTTTGCCCGTATTGAAACAGCTGTACACCGTATGGTCCTGAAAACTCAATTTCCCTGCAGAAGAATACAGGTAAACCGTATGGGTTGACAGGTATGTGCACAGCAGGGGCCGCCAGTGGCCCATGGGCAACTGGTTTATGTGAACAGATTGCAAACGATCTACACGCATAGCCCCCACCGCTGACTATGCCATGTAGGTCATGGGAGTTACTTAGTGATACTTAAATACGCTGGTCAGTGCGGCTTTGTGAAGACAGGGAACCTGAGATGATGGTCATAGAAGTACAGCGGAACAATATGTTTTGCTGCACTGCCCACTGCTCTGCCCACGAACGTAGCCCATGTATGAATCAACATTTCAGTGCATGTTTTCTCTGGCTTATAAATCGAATAGATTTTAACTGACGGATGGATGCATCGTTACATGGTTGCCTACTGTTGCTCCTAGAGATGAGGCCTGTTTGGTTTTGGGTTGCATCTTTCTGTTCTCGTTGGGTGAGATGCTGATGCTGTGCGACGGTTGGCACATAGGAATTGCAATGCAGAGTTCCGCAGGTTCAATTTCACCTGCTGGTGGCAGCAGTTAAAACGACAGTGAAAGTTTCCTAAATCACCCCTTCGTGGCCACTTTCTGCCTGGCAGTAGTACAATATGGGCACACAGTCGACCAGCAGGTCGCGTGGAGTTGTGATGATGTGTGGATAATCCCAGCTCATCCAAGTCATCAGCGTGGAAGAGTAGGCCAAATGCCATCGAGAGCCCCTTCTCACGGAGGCCCTTGGTCTGTCAGCGGCGAGAGCAAGAAATTCAAAGGCTGCACCTATAAACAACCTTTATCGAACGTCTTTCAGACTGCGCTGCTGCTGCTGCTCGTTTTTTGTGCTAACACAGGTGGTGGAGAAATCCAAGCTGCTGCCCCTGCTGCCTGACGCCTATGACTTAGCGGAGCTGCCATGTCAGGCGATTCAGTGCTTCCTGGTGGACGTCTCTGCACCCAAGGAGGTAGCGTTGCTGGCCCAGTGGCAGTGATCGGTGTTATTGATGGGGGGCTTTGTCTGCCACCCCCTCTTCCCACCCCCTCCCCCCCCAATACAGTAAGTCCTCTATCTTCCCCCTATTTACGTCATTTCTCTGTAACGTCGCCAGTCAATTTGGGAACGTAATTGGATTTCAAATGAGTTGTCACTTCAACGGTTGTGTTTAAAAATGGAAAAAAGAGAACAGTTTATTGTCAGTGTAGGTGACGACGCACTACGCCTAGGGGGCGCTCAACCCTCAGTGTTCACAACACCACCATACCGGGTGCTACACTGCTCTCTCTAAATGCACTCTCCATCAACCATCTGCTGCGCACTCTAACTTCTAAATGTAAAGTTATTATGTAACGTAATTATGGGGAGGTTCTGTTATCTTCTTTTGGTACTTAATATTTTTTGACACAAAATATCCCTCCCCCCCCACGTCATCTGTTCCTCTGCAAGATGTGGAGCAGTCGCTTTTGCACTATTCAGTCAGTCACCTGTTGAGAACAAAGATTTCCGCTGTATTCCTGCAAACGATATTACCCGTTATGGTGCGGGTCAGATATATTCGCGATGGCAAAGAATTAAATTGAAGCTCAAAGGTGCGTGCAAACCAAATGCGGAAAGAGGCATGTTTTCAATTTGCGATAAAAACTGAAAGGAAAATGCACAGATCGGTGAAAATATGCAAATTGTAGACCCCATATTTCAGAGTTCATGAAAGAAAGTGGACTGGGTAGGCGTGTCTTGGCTTGAGGGGACACCTTGAAAAGCATTGCAAACGAAAGCTTCATATAAATAACCATAATACGAATAACTGGGACGGACGTATAACGTGTTGATATAGATGATGTGTGCAAGTTTCAAGGTAGGAGATTAATACATTTCCATTAATTCGTGGGAAGAAGTGGGTTAATAGACAAGTCTCTGAAAGGTGACCACATAACACTCGAGATCTCTTACGCACCAGTGGTGCGCTGCCTCGCTATAGATTTGTTTGTCACGTGGCAATACAAATTGCACATTTTCTGATGTATCGGAAAACCACATTCAATCATAATCAGGAGGTGATGGCACACGCCCGTAATCCAGCACCGTGGGTTTGTGGCTAACACGTGTCAAGATTTATACTTGGGTTCTCCGCAGTGGTGACTCAGTTCTCTGATGCTGGTGTCAGCTACCTGAGCCAATTGGGCAACTGCCATGGCTGCGTTAGACCCCTTTCAAAGTTGTGGCATTCTAGGTTAGGCTGCTTGTCCAAAGAAAATGTTCTCTTTGCGAGTCAAAGTAATGGAATCTCACTTGGTAGTGCTCTTATCTGCCTCTCATGGTCTCCACCCAGACATGAGGACCATGTTGAGATTCTTCACTTCGACTACCTACTAGCCTTTCCCGCAGAAGAGTGTGGTGGCAAAACCTTGAGATGAACCCACTCAACCCCATAGCCTGACCCCGGGACACCTTGCTCGTTAATTGTGGACGCCTCTCTTCTTTTGCAGGGCTTCCCAGATTCGGTGTTGTCCTTCTTTCGTGCTATGGTGTACTCGTCGGACATGAAAGCCGTGGTGCTCTGCCGGGAGGATTTCGGCCAACTCGGGCTGGAGCTGTTCCACGGCACGCAACGCCTCAACACGACTATCAACCAGATGCTGAACCCTCCTCTCCCCCCTTCTCGCGGGCTGCACCAGCTGCCCGAGGTCATAGCTCAAACAGGCAGCGCCCACAGAGACGCGGTGACGTATAGAGCCAGGGAGCAGAGCCACCGTCCGCCGGTGACGAGTGCGCCGTCACACGAGCCTCCCGAGAGGCTCGTACCCGTCCTGGGTCCTGCGCCGGCCCAGGGTAGGCACAAGCCGGCAGACAGAGAGCCCGAGCAAAGCGCCGTATATCTAAGGAAAGGAAACAGCAAGCACGCAGAGTTGCCCTCATCAAAGCGGGAACAGCCGGAGGCCTTGCCGAGGCGAGTTTTTGGCAGCGATTCTCTGAGGATGGATCAAGTCGTCAGAGAGAGAAGCCCAGATGCGATGAACACAGCGGGATACGGGAAGGCGATGCACGAGGAGCCCTCTTATTCCTTCTGGAGGCAAATCAGAGAGAGCGAGAACTCGTCGCGTCAGTGGCGAGACAAAGCAACCACTCGGGACAGAAACGGAAGGTCCGTTCACTCCGAAGGCAGCTCTCAGGCTGACGGAACCTGCAGCTTGACACGTGACAACGTGACACCGCATAACGCGGCAGCGCACAACGTGACACCTGATAATGTGACGCCGAAGTACCTGGAAAGCAGTGTCACCAGCGTGTTGGGCGACACCACTTTGGAGGAGAGGACCCTGTCGTGCTCGCCGATCTGCCACAGCACTGTAATCGACGAGGAAGGATATGCCACTCGGGAGAAGGAGCAAGAGGCGAAGGCTAAAATTATTCCGAAGTTGGAGGATCTTGCCGCTTCTCCTGTGGGCGACGGACAAGCGGGCGCCACCTTGAATGTGTTTGTGTTGCACGTGGTCACCCCATCTCGTTTCTATGTCCAGCTTGCGTCCGACGAGCAGACGATTTACGGTCTTGCCGAAGAGCTGAATGACGGCAGCGTGAGCGGCGGCAGCTTGCGCCCAAGCGACCTGAAGCTAGGGGACCTCATCTGCGCCAAGTACAGCGACGACGAGAGCTGGTACCGCGCCGTAGTCAGGGGCTTTGAACCCGACGACCCACTGGCCCTGGTTGAGTTCATTGACTACGGCAACACAGACAGGGTTGGCTCCGACAGCATGTCCGAGCTGCGTACGGAATTTTTGCGTCACCCCCGACGAAGCATCGCGTGTAGCCTTGCCGGAGTGCGGCCATGCGTTAGCATTCACGGTAATAAGTGGACAAAGGAGGCGACCGAACTTTTCACTGAAACCGTCCACGACTTAGAGCTGCGCTGCGAAGTTTCTGGCGCGAGCCCACGGCGGCGATGATGTCTTGTGGGAAGTGAACCTGACTGCGGAAAGCGGAACGAGTATAGCAGACGCCCTTGTGGCCAAGGGAATGGCTGACACCCTGACGATCGCCACGAGTGGTGAATCCACGCAGGAACGGCAAGAGCAGCAACAGGAGCAGCAGCAGGAGCGGAACCAGCAGGCCTTGGAAACAACTGCCGAACCGGACCGTGCGACGACTAACTCCACACATGAGGACAATCATGGGGTGGAGATGGACGGCAAGCTGGAGGCTCGGGCAGCAGTACGAGGTGTACGTGTCCCTCGCCAGGGGCCTGGACAACTTTTGGTGCCAGCTGAAGGTGTTGGCGGACGAGCAGCTGACCTCGCTGATGTCGGTTATCGAAACGACGGGAGACGAGCGAGAGGTGTCTCTGGCCATGGTGGAGGTCGGGGGCCTCTACCTGGCACGCTATAGCGAGGACAACGTACTGTACCGCGCACGCGTGCTGGACGTGGCCGCGGGCCGTGCCAAGGTGATGTTCATCGACTACGGCAACGAGGAGGAATTGGACGTATCGTGCCTTCGCGGAGTCCCGCCCAACGTCGCCGTTGCACCACCATTTGCGTTCCCATGCTTCCTGCGTGGATCGACGGGGTGCATTGTGCCAGATGAGGTCACCAACGCATTTGTGGACGCATGCTTGGAGGAGTCTCGAATGCTGAAAGTCGTTGCCGTTGTCACCACTGTGGCCGACTGCTGCACGCATTCTGCCTTCTATGAGGTCGAGCTCTACGATGAGCATGGTGACCCATTCAGCGAGAAATATTTAAGGGGAACATTCGCTCAGGATCCATTGCAGCGGCAGGAGCAAGGGCCGGTGGTAGATCTGGACCATGCAGAATCTGGGCAAGGAGAAACGAAAGAAGCCCCTCCCAAAGATGAAGTCTCTGACAAAGAAAAAGTACCGCTTTTCGAAAAGGCCCGTTTAAAAAGTTCAGCTGAAGAGGTCCACGCTGACGTCGAACCGTATGACGGTGGGAACCCTGAGCCAGTGATTTCTACCATCAAGGATTATCCTGCTGCGCCACCGCTGGCTGCCGGTGAGACGTTGAGCGTGCACTGTCTGTCGTACAATTTGGAACTCGGAGAGGTCTCCTCTCCAGCAGCCGGAACTGGAGAGGAGCTGCTGGGCGAGGAGGAGGAGGTCATTCCACCACTCCGCCTCGAAGAGCTGGTGCCTGGGACACCCTGCACGTTCAGAAGCCGAGTGGAGGCCGTCGTGCTGGAAGGGGAGTACGATGCAACGGTAGCAGTAGTGAGACACGAAGACTCTGACGCCGAGGAGGAGGTGCATGTACCCCTCGTGCTCCGACTAGGCAAGGATCCGATCGCGCTGCCTCCACATGACAGCTGCTGCTGCTCGTTCGACCTGGCGGGCACCAGCGAGGGGTGCCAGGGTGGTGGTAAGGGGCATTGTCAAGGGACAGATGTGCAGTGGGTGGTAGCGACGGCAGCTTGTGAAGACGGAGGCAGCGGCCAGTGGATTGGTGGCGGTGAGCCGGTGGTGGAAACGGGCGGGCGACCACCCGCGGCGGTGGAGCCAGGACGTGTGGCCAAGGGAATTGCTGACACCCTGACGATCGGCACGAGTGGTGAATCCACGCAGGAACGGCAAGAGCAGCAACAGGAGCGGAACCAGCAGGCCTCGGAAACAACTGCCGAACCGGACCGTGCGACGACTAACTCCACACATGAGGACAATCATGGGGTGGAGATGGACGGCAAGCTGGAGCTCGGGCAGCAGTACGAGGTGTACGTGTCCCTCGCCAGGGGCCTGGACAACTTTTGGTGCCAGCTGAAGGTGTTGGCGGACGAGCAGCTGACCTCGCTGATGTCGGTTATCGAAACGACGGGAGATGAGCGAGAGGTGTCTCTGGCCATGGTGGAGGTCGGGGGTCCTCTACCTGGCACGCTATAGCGAGGACAACGTACTGTACCGCGCACGCGTGCTGGACGTGGCCGCGGGCCGTGCCAAGGTGATGTTCATCGACTACGGCAACGAGGAGGAGTTGGACGTATCGTGCCTTCGTGGAGTCCCGCCCAACGTCGCCGTTGCGCCGCCATTTGCGTTCCCATGTTTCCTGCGTGGATCGACGGGGTGCATTGTGTCAGATGAGGTCACCGACGCATTTGTGGGCGCATGCCTGGAGGAGTCTCGAATGCTGAAAGTCGTTGCCGTTGTCACCACTGTGGCCGACTACTGCACGCATTCTGCCTTCTATGAGGTCGAGCTCTACAATGAGCATGGTGACCCGTTCAGCGAGAAATATTTAAGGGGAAGCGTTCGCTCAGGATCCATTGCAGCGGCAGGAGCAAGGGCCGGTGGTAGATCTGGACCATGCAGAATCTGGGCAAGGAGAAACGAAAGAAGCCCCTCCCAAAGATGAAGTCTCTGACAAAGAAAAAGTACCGCTTTTCGAAAAGGCCCGTTTAAAAAGTTCAGCTGAAGAGGTCCACGCTGACGTCGAACCGCATGACGGTGGGAACCCTGAGCCAGTGATTTCTATCAACAAGGATTATCCTGCTGCGCCACCGCTGGCTGCCGACTGAGACATTGAACGTGCACTGTCTGTCGTACAATTTGGAACTCGGAGAGTTCACCTCTCCGGCAGCAGGAACTGGAGAGGAGCTGCTGGGTGACGAAGAGGAGGAGGTCATTCCACCACTCGGCCTCGAAGAGCTGGTGCCTGGGACGCCCTGCACGTTCAGAAGCCGAGTGGAGACCGTCGTGCTGGAAGGGGAGTACGATGCAACGGTAGCAGTGACACACGAAGACTCCGACGCCGAGGAGGAGGTGCATGTACCCCTCGTGCTCCGACTAGGCAAGGATCCGATCGCGCTGCCTCCACATGACAGCTGCTGTTGCTCGTTCGACCTGGCGGGCACCAGCGAGGGGTGCCAGGGTGGTGGTAAGGAGCATTGTCATGGGGCAGATGTGCAGTGGGTGGCAGCGGCGGCAGCTTGTGAAGACGGAGGCAGCGGCCAGTGGATTGGTGGCGGTGAGCCGGTGGTGGAAACGGGCGGGCGACCACCTGCGGCAGGTGGAGCCAGGACGTGTGGATCCTCCGCTCGACCAACTTGCGCAGGTGCTTGAAGTGGTGCTTGTTGGTCCTTAAAGACCATTGGTCCCAAAAATGGCTTCTCAATACTGCTCAGGCTGGCAAATTCTTATCCTTTTTAGAGCAGTTTATTTCTAGATCACAAATAAGCATGACGGCAAGGGAACACACCGTGGTAGCTTTTCATGATAAACAAAGGCTTGAATACGTTTGACGGGGAATACCAAATGTTTTTTTTACCTGATTTGAAACGTCCACGGAATTAATATGAGAATAAATGTCAAGTATAGTGCATGAAACGGGACAAATGTGTTCGCTAAGCTTTGCTGCCAATGGTGGCCTCTACTGAACATGGTGCGTACTGGGATAGGTGTGGCGAATGCAAACCTCTTGCGTTCTCACGTCCGCCGTTCGCATATCCAGCCGTTCAGTTGTCTCTGCTGCATAGAAATACACGTGCGATTTTTATCTTTTGTTAGGAATACAAAAATACTGGACGGATAAAAAAAAAACCCAATTGTGGATGGTTGGATTTTAGACCAGTGCATTTGTTCTGGTTAAAGCTAAAAATCGCTCGGCTATTTTTGGTCCCGAGCTTTTTTTCATTTACATCATTGATGTGTCGGGATACCCGCGTGCGTACAAATCCTTTTAACGGAGTTGGTTGGTAAACCCTCGACTACTCGCCGAGAAGAGTCGTCTCAGTAAGCAACTCTAGGGTGTTCATTGTAGGCCCTTATTCAGCAGTTGCTTGAAAACAGCACTGTACGTGTACAAAAATGTAATCAAAGTTATTTCTCCTACGTATATAAAGCTTGCAATTTTTTTTCCAGATAAATACATTGTACTGACAATTAAAATATATTAATTTTTTTCATTGTTGACTTAACAGGAAACCCAGGACCCGTCGCATGAAACTGAGGAGCTGGATGACTGCGCTGTTGTTGCGGATGAGGAGGTGGTTGGGGGCGAAGAGTGTGAATACGAGGAAGTGGAAATGACCGCGGCGAGCGATGACAACAACCAAAACTCCGCCTGGACGGGAGGAGAAGGCGGCGAGCCACATTTGCTGGTGCCGTGTAAAGGACGAGAGGAGGAGCTGCCCAGACACCTCGTGTTGGCGTCTGTGGGAGAGCAAGACTGCGCCACTGCGGATGGAGCGAGCGTAGACATCGCTGGGCATGCAGAAGCCTCGATGCTGCCGCACGACAGCGCCGTAGTCCTCCTGCCCGCCTCCGGCTCCCTGGCCCTGGGCGACAGCGAGCGCCGCATGGGCCGGGACGTAGGCACTGAGAGGATTCGGCAAGTTTGCCGGCATGTTCGCCCGGGACTTGGCAGACAACCGCGTGGAGTCCGTCACGCTGACTGCACAACTGCGCTGCCTGAGCGGCGCTGCTCCCGCACTGCCGCTGAGGGCCTCGCCCTGCCGATTGCTCGAGTTTCGCAGGGAGCGAGTCGGCGCCGCGTATGACCCTCGCAGCCTGGCGAACACGGTCGCCCTGGAAGGTTTGAATGCCGAAATGGTGCACGGTAAATGCACGCTTCGGCTGAGGCTGGTGAATATGGACGATGGCAGGGGCATCACCTTCCTGGAGAACACGGTGCCGCTGAGCGTGAATTTGCTGGGATCAAAACAGCGCTGCTTGGCCTTGCCTCCGCCTCCGTCCTCGTTCCCTAACAAACCGCTCGATGAAAATGTCAAAATAATTTCCCTCTCCGGCGCTGAATGTCATCGTAAAGAAGCAGACATTTCTTGGACTGTGGAGAAAAATAAGGCTGAGGAAGAGAAGACCACCTTGCCTTGGAACGATCCAGACACACTAAGATTTGAAGATATGTCTGATGCAGATTTGAGCGATTTTGATGAAGAGCATTGGATCCAGCGACCAGGCACGGTAGGGAGTGGTGCCGCCGCTCAGTTTGTTCTCGTGGCACAAACGGACAGAGCAGCTGCTCCCGTGGAAGAGGAAGTGCGGGAAAGGCCGTCTAAAAATTCTAGCCCTCCACCCACTCCTCCCGACAACAATGAATTCCAAGCCGAGCACGAAGCGTTGCATGAGGTCTTGCGAAGGAGTGAAGGGGCGCCCTGGCCTGACATGGAGAAAGGAGACTGCCTTTACGAAGATCTAGAGAGCTGCGAATACTTCGAAAGGCGCTTGTTGGCATCCAGTTGTTCATTGTCATCCGACTACCTTATGGAGAGCTACCTGGATATTGGTGTTTTGTCACTGGAAGACTCTGATGTGGAGCAGTGGCACGAGAGCTCCGAGTTTCTGGCCGGTTTGCCCGATGACTCTGGCGATGACAATGAGCTCTACTTCCCGGCCGAGGTGGACTCCTCGGTCCTGTCGCCCCTCGACTCTTCCGGATTCACCGAAGAGGTTGTGCCAACCGCTGAGCCGAATCTCCCCAGGGATCCGTCTGGAGACGTAGCGAATGGCGAAACGGCCGGCGCGACGAGCCTCCACACCACGATTGCTGCGGCCGCCACTGCCGCCGGTGTGGAAATCGCCGCGGAGGTGAGGGTTGCCTTCGCGCTCGGCCTTGTTGGTGGGAATGTGAGCGTGTTGATGCAAGTGTGATGATGTTGTAGGGGTTGGTAATATGGGAGCGATGCTGTAAGCACGAAAGACGTAAGAGCGAGGATCACAGACAAAAGGAGTAATTGCAGGATTCAATAACATCTGGAGAAGCAAGCCTGCGAGATTTGCACGTTGAAAAAGACTGACAGCGATAAGACATTGGCATTCGAAATGTATAGCGACAGACGTATACTGCATGACCAACGTAGAAGTAAAAAAAAGGTTTCAGATGAAAGAAGACCTGATGATGCAGGCAGTGATGAGAAGGAAAGTGGCATTCATAGGTTTTTTTGGGTTAGTTCGCGTAAATATATAAATGTGTCATTAAATCCGCCACCACCCGACACAGCCAACTAGTAAGGGTTGTCATGTAAACAGAACGTGGCCAATTTGTCACAAAGAATGGCTTCTCGGCATTAAGAGATTGGTGCTAGAAAGATGTGCACCACTTGAGGAAAGTGGACGATTCATTCTAGATTTGAAGTTTTCGTGACTGCAAGGATCCATACTCTTTGGTTATTTCGGTAAAGGTCACGAAGATGAAAAAAATAATAATAAAAGGAAAATAACTAAATTAAATCACGACGTTTCGGAGGCAACACAAACTTCCGACAGGTGGAACAGCCACAACAAAATTACTGTAATTTTGTGTGGCTGTTCCACCTGATGACGGAAGCTTGTGTTGCCTCCGAAACGTCCTGATTTAATTTAGTTTTTGTTACATCTACATGACTTTACCGAAAGAACCCCAAAGAGTATGAAAGTAGACGAAAGGTGCAGTTTACACCTACGCGCTATCTACACATGGTTCGTGATGGAGATGATGCTGTTAGCATGGTGTTCGTGGTGTTAGTGTGCTCGTCACTGTTGTGTTTGTGGCGTGTCTTCCCTTTATAACATGGTGCCCAGCCTCCCACATTGATAACACAGCATTAATCACTCCGTTGCATTCATGACCTCTTTTCCTGATTAGGTAATTGGTGCATTTATATAGTTGTCATTCGTGAGTTTTTTCTATCCTAAAAAAAACTAAATCGATCTGCAACAAAACGCTAAATACCAATTTCCTAGTTCTCAATGGGTGGCAACTGCTGCCACACGACCCTCCCCCGCCACGCCCCTTCGTCCCCGCTTGGATAATGCTCCAGAGCTGTCTCCACCTGCGGCATGAGGAGTCTCGATTGTGTGACTGCGTGTGCACTCACCTTTTGACATTGCTGCTGCCTTGTCGGAGCCACTGTTTTTCGTTATCTTTTCCATTCTGTCAAAAGCAAACGCGGCATCGTTCATAGCCTGTGTGTCGGGAGTTGGCGTAGGGGAGGGGGAGCAGCGGTGGAGAGTGGGCACCACGGGTTGTTGCGTTGTGCGTTGAGTTGCTGTGTGCTCTCTCTGTTGGCAGGTATCCGATGGGCAAGGCGCCGCCGGCATCTCGGAGGAAGGTGGCGCTCGATCGAGTTTGCGTGGAGGCAAGTAGCTTTGTTAATCGATAAGAGTTATTTTTTTTTCTTCTAAAAATTATTATCTTTAATTGATTGAAAGGGCGTGGAATGTCCGGGCTCGCCCAGTCACCGCCTCGTGCTTTTTAAAAGTCACAGTGACAGCAACAAACAGCCGCCTTTCACTGCTTGGTGGCGTTCGTGTCACCCCAGTCGCTTTTTCCAGACTATCAGGAATTGAGCTCGTACGTAGGGCAGTGCGTTCACTGTTACATTACCACTCCCCACATTGGTAAAGACAAACACACAGACCCAACAACATCGCTGGTGGTCACAACCAGCACCAGCAAGGTAGTTGCCCGAATTGGTAGTCACTACACATTTTACTTGCGTGCTCTGACCCAAAAAAAATCTATTGACCGCTGGTGCTGCTGATGCTTCTTCATGGCCGTGCGTTTCTCTACCCGAGCCCTGAGGGCCAGCGGTTGGAGGTCAGAGGGTAAACGGTAGTTAGGTGTTTTAAGTACGTGGGCTGTCATTTGTTAGCTTGTAAACACCGCGTGCCGGTCTTGTAAATCATTGGGCTTGTGGACTCTGTCCTTGCGTGTGTGTGTTTTTGCGATTGATCGCTTTGTTGTTTTTTTTTCTAAAGATGAGGCTGAGATCGTTGCCGCTCTTGTCCCTGAGAGCGTCGCGTTCACTGAAGAAGGGGGGGAGGAGGTGGGCACCATCCCGGCAGGTGTGCATATGGAAGGCGATGGCTTCATACTCGGGGGTGCCACTCAATATTTTATGTTTGTTATTTTGAAGTTCACGCCTCGTGGTTGCCTGTTAAACTGAAGCACTGCGTGTTTTAAAGACAACGCCTCAATAGTTACTGGTTGCAACGTGAAGGCATAGACACAGAGAAGACGATGGGATTCTGAGCAGCGCGTAATTACACTGTGTAACAAAAAAAATTGTTCCTGGATAGTAAGTGTTATTTCCTCATTGCTTATGCCTTAAAAGTACAGAAAATGGCTATTATACTGGTATGAACCTCCTGGTCACACCAGCCCACGGGATTATTGTGTCTGTCGTGCAGGGAGGTGCTGGGTGGGGAGGGAGGGGCTGGGTGGGGAGGGAGGGGCTGGGTGGGTAGGGGAGGGTGGGGAGGGGCTGGATGGGGAGGGAGATGCTGGGTGGGGAGGGAGGGGCTGGGTGGGTAGGGGAGGGTGGGGAGGGGCTGGATGGGGGAGGGTGGGGCTGGGTGGGGAGGGGCTGGATGGGGAGGGTGGGGCTGGGTGGGAGGGGCTGGGTGGGGAGGGGCTGGGGGTGGGAGGGGTGGGGCTGGGTAGGGAGGGGCTGGTCACCCCGTGGTGCCCTTATAAAACTCAACGTTTAACCTACTCACGCCGGCTTGTGCCCGCCCTCACAGTCGTGAATATTTGCGGAATACACCACGCCGCCGTTGACCTTGGCCATTGACCGAGCAACCCATCGTTCTTACCAGCTCCCTCCGCAGGACAATGTGTTTCCCCACAAACTTTGCTTTTGTGACCAGGACAGTGATATTTTGAAATTTACCTATTTTCAATGAGACAACGTGTGCATTTGGGTCTTTCGTTCACATGAAGTCCTGGTCACAAAAGCAAATTTTGTGGGGAATAATAGCCATTTTCTATACTTTCTAGGCATAAGCAATAAAAAAAATAACATTACCCAGGAACAAAAATTGTGTTACATAGTGTTATTAACAGATTACAATGACACTTCCAGCAGTTGACTAATGCACCAAAAGTAGCAAAATTGAAACTGCGCTGTTCCATGTGCTGCATGTTGAGTGCATACCTGCCAACCCAATGCAGTTTACCCATTTTCTTGTATAGGGAAATTGAGTTTTCAGGTCCATACGGCATACAGCCGTTTCAATACAAGAACATCATGGCAAAGTAAAATGACAGTGTATTGTTTAACCCTTCATAATTATTGTTGTACATTTACAACATGAGTGTGTGCATCCACATAGCAAGCAGCAGCATCAGCATGCAAGATCACGGACAGTAACATTATAAGTAGCATCACTGACACCAATTATTAAAATTAAATACGTTAAAGTTTTTTTATAGTAACAATTTGTGTCTAATTGTTGGTGTTTCTCCCTTGTGATGGGACTATGTCGGATAAAGGTTGAGATTTATAAGGGCACCGGGTGACCAATAAGGTCTGAATTGGTCTGTAATAAGGTAGGGCACTGATAAGGGGTTGACAGGTATGTGAGTGGCACCCTACTTCCCCATACCTTGCAGAGGAATAGAGAAGGAAGCAGTCCATGGGGCAGATCAGTACCCGAAGGCAGCTGCGGCCCATTTATTTCTACGGCAAAATCATTATTTGATAACCCTACTGGTGGTCAAAACGGTGATCATAAATGTCACTGTTATTTGGCCACATTAGGAAAATGGAACCACTGAAGTTATGCCACTTCAGGTGGTATGGACTAAGCAGGAAATATCTGGTCTGGGCTCATGGACTTTTAAGGCGGTTATAGTACTGCAGATGGAGACTTGTGGGCCTGTGCAAGCGTGC